ATGATAAAGCAGTTATGACCTCGCCTCTATGACCTAGGGTTCACTTTGGATTGTTTACACATGGAAATACTTTCCAGGTTGTGATGCAAGTGTTTTCAGAATGACATTAACTAGAAGTTGAGCTCTAAAGTTGTTTTCTGACAGCCTAGTTGTTGCCAGGATTTCAGTTTTTATATATAAAAGCTGAAATCATTGGTCTGAGGAAGAGGGCATTGTGGAGCTCTGGACACTCATAGTGCCGGTGATGACACTGATGCCACACTGGACAAAAAAGAACCACAGGAGGAAATGAAACACTTACAGCATGCTTTTCACAAGTTTCTTAAAAGCATTCATCGGCAATGTCTCCCTTCAACCATTGTGAACTCTTACCCCTTGAAATGGTGTATTCCCCTGATGTAGAATCACCCGACCTTAATCCCTCTATATCCACTGATGAATCCCAGCAACACACACAGTAGGGATGCCGCCTAATTGAATTTCCTTGGTCACAATGAAACACACACTCAGGACCTGCGAGTTCCAGTCCATGCCTTTGATAAGCAAATGACCCCTATGGAATTGAGGTCACAGCCTGCGAAAACAAGAGTGAGGGAGAGAAAAATAAAGTCCCGCACTCAGACAATCCCAATATCGACTCACCCGGGATTGAGTCCAATGATGTTTACCCTCTGTGTGTTGAGCCTCTGCTGGCTTAAGAGGAAATTCATCCTACAATCACACACACAAAGATGTCCGTGGTCCCGTCCCGTATTTTTACATTTGAATGGAGTGCATGTGTAAATAATCTTGTCCTTGCTACAGATTCCTATAGAGCACAGTACAGTAAATGTTGCCGCATCCTTTGTGTCTGTTTTTGTGTGCCATTGGCTCCAGTAATAGCTTTTCTTGTACTCAATTGCCTGAAGACTGTGCAACAAGCTCCCTCGTACAATAGTCAGGTCAGTTAATTCATGAACTCATCCACTCTGCATCTCTTCTAGTCTTTTTTCTTTTTTCTTCCTTTCGTTTTATTTGTTAGAAGTCGGAAAGTCTTGAGGCAGAATAGTGTGTTTGCGTTGGCATCACTCAGAGTGCAGAGCCTGGATGCTTTTACAGATACTCCTTTTAGAAACTAGCCGTGCAGCTTCACTGTCTGCTTTACTCGCACATCGTTGATTAACAGAACTTTGTAGACTCGGGTAACTCACTTTTACAGTCAGCTAGCTTTATTTAATGTATTCAAATATATCTTTAGACTTTGACAGTAGGCTTGTCTGATTGACTTCTCTGATAGTTTTACCCTGATGCCAACCAATATGCCTTAACCTTACCAGCGAAGGCAACCAATTGTAGCCAATCAGAGGCAGAGTAGGGCAGTTGATATGCCATAGTAGGATATAAGATATTGTAGTTATTCTGCATAATAATTAGCCACATTATTCGGTTTGTTGCAGGGACTGTGTATATTCTGAGCAGTTGGCATTTGTTTTAAGGTAAACGGGGGGTTGGATTAATGGATTTTGGATAACGGGCCTTCACAACATTGGGCAGTCTCCAATTATCCTTCTTTTAGTCTCAGAGATAAACTGTAGTATAATTTGTAACTAATACTTCCTGAACTATCTGTCTTATTTAATATATGCACAAACATACAGTAACAGTGACACCTTTTAAATAGATTATATTTCTACAAGGACTGATCAAATGTGTTCCTTTTGAACTAATTGTGTTTGTACTATTGTACTATTTGGAACTGCAGTTGCCAGGTCTTGTGAATTACAGCACTGGTATCAATAGTATCAATGTGTCAAAGAACATGTTATGCATATTAATCAAGCATTGTTACATTTGGGAATTTGAGTGTGAATTGTATTTACTACCAAAAGACAGCAGCTTTCTATTGATATTGGCACTGTATGAGTCTGTGTCTCTGTGGAAGCATGCATTACTTCTTCATTTCAGTGTCAATCACATAATCATCCTTTTAAAGTTTTCATTTCACTGCGGTTTCTGGATGGCTCATTTATAAATGGGCCGCAGATCAAACCGAAGGCTGCGGGAATCATGTCATGTTTTAATTATCGTTTAACAGGGATGTTAAGTGAACGCTGAATATCTTGCAGGAAAGGTAAAAGAAAGTGTTAATTTGACTATCTTACTCTCTTTAGTTCCTAACACCTTAGAGAGGCAGCCGAGCACAGTTTTATAAATCGATATTGATATTACTGAGTCAGAAGGGTGTCCGTTTTTAAAAATCCTGAGCATAGCTTAATATGAATCAGTGGTGTAGTTGCCACATCAGTCACCTATGAGTGGTTTTCATAAAGTTGTGTTTTGCTGACAGACCTCCCAGTGGAATAGACTTTGGAAAACAACAGTAAATAGCAGCCTGTCCAATCATTATTAACTGCTATAAAAATTACAGTCCCATTTTGTTCACAAAGTGATGAGATTATTTTGTCCTTATTAATTGGAGTGAAATTGGACAGAGTGAGTCACTGCAGTGTTACTGGAAGGTGTCGGACACAGAAAGCAGGTAATTATGGAGACAGGAAGAGATAAGAAAATGGAATGCAATTACCCCGGCAAGGAGAGCTTCAAATTGCTCCTCTCAGGATTTCTCACTTCAGGTCCCTATTGTTCATTCTTTGCATCTCCATACTCATCTATTCCTTTCAGCCTCTAGCTCAATGAATAAGGAAGGTTTGCATTAATCAAATGAATTTCTGCGGTAAGTAGAGCCATATAACCATCTGGACACCGCTTATTGATCAATTCTAAATGTATGTATTCAAATGTTTTTCCCAATTATTTTGCCCACATAAACTGCTGAGCTAAGTCTAAATCCGATGTTTCCATTGTTCCTTATATCCAAGGCTGTAAAAGTTAGAAAAGTCAGAATTAAGTTTAATTTAACTTTCTCGTTGTAGGGGGCACAGATTGATCTCTTCTATCTCCCCCCTCCAGACTGCAACTGTACTATTGTTCCATCCATGTGTGCATACATAGCATTTTATTAACGACTAACACGCACACGCATATGAAACTAAATATAACAATACCCCCTCTCAAATCCCTCCCCAGTGAGCGAGATTGCTGCATGTACTGTAAATAAGTGTATGTGTTACACAAAAACTGCTGCTCTTGCTACATTAGACTTCATTTCATTTTTTCTGTGGATTCCCCGGCTCACTTTTTTGTAGAACACGCAAAATGCAACTGCAAACATAACCATTGTTCTTAGATATAGGTATATGTAGAGAACTTAAAATGTTTTCTCTTGTTCAAGTACATGTTATTATTATTTTTATTATGTTTCAAGGTGAAAGCCAAATGTTGCCATGCTGCTGGTTCAAAAAGGGAGGTTTCTTCTGCTCCATTTGTTGATTCTCTCTAGTGCCCATTTTGTTACTTTGGGCATTTATTTTAACATCGAGGTGCTCTCAGTCTGTGCCACACACTCCCTGCAAAAACACACACACATGGAAGAGCTAGAGTTGAGAGGGAAAGAAAGTGAGTAAATGAGAGTGAATTCCTCAATCCAGCCTTTTATTTCAACCTTTTTTGACAGTTATTTGGCTGAATTATTAAAGCCAATGAAAACACACAAATATTACCTTTCTCCTTCTTTTTTTTACGGAGACTAACACATAGCAAGGGGACGCTGTTAACGCTTGAGGTGGCGCTTCAGGGCTAGATTTACTGCATGTATACTCGCATTTACCAAGAACGCATATTGCAAAAATCTACTGCATTTAGACGCTAATACATGGGGGGGTCCACCAGTGACCCTTACAGCTACTTATCAACACGTGGCTGCCAGCAGTGGAGCACTCTGCTTTCCTCCCTGACAGCTTATGTCACCAATGGGACAAAGGCCTCCACAGATCCATGCACAGTTTGCCTCAAATTGTTTACTAAAAAATCCTCGTTTCCAGTTTGTTCAATGCTCTGTATCCGCACAAGTGCTTTCTGTAATTGCTGTATAGGTTTGATGGTCTGATATGTGCCACTTAGCCAAACTTCAGCTCGCCTCAGTCTGGAGGGGAATGATTACCGCACACAGATCAAGTGTGTGAGGGGAGGGTCACAAAGTGCCTTCATGTAAATGGCAGTAGAAGAGCAGCTCTACATTGAGACTTAAATATACAGCCTTTAATGTGTGCCCTCTGTGACTGTTAAATGTTCTGTGTTCATAAAAAAAAAAAAAGGTTCAACACCTCTTTCTCCAAAAGACCCCAGGGAGAAAAGATGAGACGGAATGAGAGAGGGCTGGAAAGCTGAGGGAAACGCAGCAATCTCTTGATCAGAGGGAAGAGAAAGTAGGACACGTCGTAGGGATCAAGGTCGTAGATATATATAAAATACCTCTGGATTACAGGTCCCAAATAAAAGGTCAAAGGAAAATGAAATGAAGGATTGCTTCTGAAATATCAAAAGATACCGGACTCTAACAACACTATGTTGTTTGGACAGTTAAGCAGAAGGGATTTTCTCGCAATTTTCTTTTGTTTGGAGAAGCGATGTCTTTACTTGAAAAGCAATAAAGCTTACATCAACACTGTTGTGGATATACTCCATAGATGTGTACTATTCCCCCCCTCGTGGATTTAATAATAGCGAGGCAGGTCGTGCTGAATATTTTTGTTTGTTTAGCGCTTCCTTGTTCCTTTTCAACTGTTGGTTTTAACGCCTTCCGAATTACACCAAGGATAGCTGTGAGCCTCTCTTCTCATTTTCCTCGGTTAACAAGCACTCTGTTTATATATGATTATGGTTCTCTGCTTGTTTATTCTGCAAACCTTTTTTTCTAAATTACCTCGCTGATTTAGTTCAAGGTACAAAATGTACTAAAGGATTCAGAAGAGCTCATTTTTCTTTAGTTTCTGGGAAGAAATATTCATGGTCATTTAATTGTTTGGCTCCATCAAACGAGCTGATCGGGATAAACTTGATCCCTATACCCCCCCCCCCCCCTCATTTCACCATTTTGATTACTGCCTGTGTTTGCTTTGCAGCGCTGCCAATCATGCAGGTGACAATTGACATAACCAGACAGCAGGTGGAGAAGATCTTCGGTCTGGATGAGTACTGGTGTCAGTGCGTCGCCTGGAGCACCACCGGAACGCAGAAGAGCCAAAAAGCGTACATCAGGATTGCTTGTGAGTGCACTTTAAAAACATCACTGTCATTACAAATTAAATTTCTGCAACATATTGCATGTCTGTTTGTAATAAGAGGATATTAGCATGATGATTTTTCACCTTGCGTGGTAGTAGAGGGAGTAACTTTCATTTACCAACTAGCCCAGAAGCTCTCTGTGCACCGCAGTGCATTACTGTGATTACAATTTACCTAGATCATCTTTAGGCAATTGTACTTATTAAGAAAATATTTAGCCCGTGGCAGGGATAAACTGAGATTAATGCATCTGTTTAAAGGAAGTCTAGAAAAAATAGAACACTAAATTTGAGCATTCATGAGCATATTTTTCACTGGTTACAGTACATCAACGATGATCCCTGTGAAAGTAACCGGAATAAACAGAGATTTGAAATCTATTGCTGTGCAGTAATCATAAATCTGTCTGGGGAACACAGACACATCCCTCGCTCAGCCTCAAAAGCTTTATTAGGAGAAGCCATTTCACATTTGAGTATTTTAAAGCATTCTGCCTATTTATTCCCACATAAATATGCATTATTCCACACAGAGCCGTACGCAGCGCTGTCTCCGAACCATTTGAAAACACACATTCATTATCCGACCTTGTTTGCGAGCTCAACAAAAAGAGTTCCATGTAAGATAAGGCCACGCGCCAAAAAACAATAATGTTTGCGTGCACACACATACACATCCGCATACATTTGAGCCTTCCAGGAGTGTTATATATATATAGTGTAAGTCTCCCCCAGTCCAATTATATCGGTTTTAATTCAATTGAATGTCATGAAACTCTCTGCTTTTCCTAATATAATGATGGGTCAGGACAGACACAACATCTGTTTAAAGAAAATGCACCGGTGGCTCAAAGCCACACCCTCAGCCCCTCACAACACAATAACACATTACTGATGCATAACCCGGGGTGAACACATGAAATGTGCTCCAACCTGCCAGCTATGAGCATCCTGTCCATCTCATTTTATACAAATTGCCTTGCATTCATTTTCACTCGTGAGAAATAAGCAAATAAGCGTTGCCAGTTTTACCTGTACAGCCTGGGCTTACGGACAATTGTATAGCAGGACTTGCAATGGTAAGAGTTTCCAATGAGACGTAATGTGAAGCCCCATGCAGGCAGCCAGGCTTGCAGGAGCTCTTGTCCAGGAGCCTCAGGGCTCTGTTTTCGTGCGGCTGCTCCAAGCCCTCATACAGATGGAGGCTGGGGGCTGGAGAGAGCAGAGTGGGTGGTAGGGGACGAGTGAGGGGTAATGCAATTGCTTTTGCTTGATGCCGGGCCCCTCTGGCAGCAGACAAGCATTTCTGAACCAGCCAGGCAGCCTGTAATAAGCAACATGGTTGGTGCCACAGATCCCTGTTTGGCTTAGGGGCCAACTGGAGTGCGACATGCTCAACGACGCCACGGGTGGACATTTCTAGAAAGAAGGAAATGTTGAAACCTCCGAGCTAAGTTTTGTGGAAGGAAGTATTTCATTTTGAATCTCACAAGCTCGTACAAACATCCTAATTGGTTTTGTCTCTCCCTGTCTTTTTTCAGACCTGAGAAAGAACTTTGAGGAGGAGCCGCAGGGTAAAGAGGTTGCATTGGACCAGGAGGTGTTACTGCGCTGCCATCCCCCCGAGGGAGTGCCACAAGCCGAGGTGAGACATGGATACAGAAGATATTTATAGGCCCACATCTAGCATCCCTTTACCCTTTCCTCACCAGGAGTACAAAGAGCAAAAGGTATCTCAGGATTAGCTCCCCAGCATCTCCAGCAGGGAACAGTCAACCCTGTACGGATAAATTACACCTCTAATTATTCCCCGTTATTGATTTATTATCTCCCTTACATCTCTGAGAAGCCGTATATCACAGCGTCTCGTCACATCACTCAGGATAGGCTTGGAGGCTTCACTCCCCGTTTGGCATCTCTAAAGGCCCATCCATAATTAATGGGTCTATTTGCCTCCCTCTCTCCCTATCTAATTCTCTATCTCTCTGCCGTCTCTCCACGTCCTGTGTGTCTCGTACCCTCTTGTTCTGCTCAACTCTCTCCCTTTCTCTTTCCGTCTCTGGGTGCTGTGTGTCTGTGTTTAGAGGACCAGACGGGGGCCAGCTGTTTCACCTCTTCTGCTGCGTCCTCCTGGTCCCATATAGGCACTAACCGCTCTAATAACAACACAAGAGGAGGTTAGGCCAGCCACTCAGACAGCCCAGAGACCGTGAGCAGCAGAGTAGCCAATCACAGCTCCACAATGTAGGGACAGTGTGCAGAGAAATAGGAAGGTAGGTGCCAAGTGCAGTTCAACAGAAAAGAACATCAGAGCAGAAGTCACCACGGGAGAAAACAAGGATAGTGCACAAGAGGAGGAAAGCCCAATTATATGCGGCATTGCAACTGGCAGTAATACGCACAACAATGCTGCTGTACCGTAGCTACTCTCGAGACGAGACACAAGGTCAAGTGAGAGCAAGAAAACAAGCAAACCAATCTGAAAGTACACCAAAAAAAGAATAACATCAGTTTTGGCTTGTGCAAGAGGGCACAGAAAACGACACAAAGCATGATTAGTTTCATTCTCGGACCACCAACATCCTCCGAGGGCCGTACAAATTATTGACCTCTGCTTAAAAATACTAAAATCACAGCCCATTCATTTTGCCTTTCTTTCATGCTGTGCGAAGAAAAAGCAACCTCTTAATCCAGATATCTAACCATGACTCGCGTATGCATTCACGTGCACGGTTGTCGCATGACCACCACAACAGAAAGATATGGACACAAGATGTTTAGTTTCCTAACCTCCTCTAGGGGGGTCCGGGGGGCATGCTCCCCCGGGAATGTATTGTTTTTAAATGTTGAAGTTAAAAGCATCAATCTGGTGCACTTTGAGAGCAACATTAGGAGATCTATGGATACATCTCTCAACACCCATATGAGACAGAACTGTAAGCAGATTTACTTTCTTTATGGATATTTTACAAATCACTCTCCTTTCAAACTGTATTCTTGGTTATTAATAACAACTTTTCTTTTACTGTCATATAGTATTTTATACCCGTTTACTTTATTCTCTTATTTTTTTATAACTATAATGATCATATAAAGATGTGCCTCTACTTCACTGGTTGTAGAAAAAGCTTCTTATATTCGTTAGCATAGCTAGCTAACCAGATGCTAATAACAACAAAGTTATTGACTGTATGATCAGTATGACAGATGAGCAGATCGCCACTGGGCTTTCAACTAAGACACAGCCACGCAAAAACTGCGGCATGTGTCCAGCTCCTTATCTGAAGTGCCGGAGCCGCGTTCTGGTGCTCTCCGTCAGAACTGCATACCACGTGATGACACGTTAGGCTCATGTTGTGTTCAAGGACCCTGACCTTGGCCAGGAAAAACAAGCACTCGCTTGTTTAATTATTTTGCGGTCTAGATTTCTTAATTGTTTTTCTTTTTTGCGTGTGTTTATAAATTACCTCGAGGGCTGTATCAAATTGTCTCGCGGGCCGTATACGGCCCGGGGGCCGGAGGTTCCCCATCCCTGATCTACAGAGATCTCCAGCAGCTACGCATTAAAAGCTACATTCCCCACACAAAAAGAAAATATATAAGAATTAAAACGGTATACAGATGAATTAATTCCATCTCAGTGTCAGTATAACAACAAGCTACATTTGTCATTAATCTTTCTCTGTTTGATTGCATTAATAACTGCACTACTTTTATGTTCAATGTAAAAAAAATCCAATCCCCGGCATGTGTGCTTCCTGTGGAGCGGCTTGGGAGGGGAGCAGTTTTCTATTCAGTTAAGGTGAATTTTGACCTTTTGAAACCATATTTTTCAGGTGGAGTGGCAGAGAAACGAGGATGTGATCAACCCAGGGAGCGACCTCAATTTTTTCATGACAACTGACCATAGTCTCGTCATCAAAAAAGCCCGGCTGGGGGACACGGGGAACTACACATGTGTGGCCAAAAACATTGTCGCTCGCCGCAAAAGCAACTCTGCCACGGTCCTAGTCTATGGTAGGTGGAAACTCCTTTCAACAGGTGTCAAAGCGGTCTACACACAGTAATGAAAAGTCTGGAGTTAGGCAGCTTCCAAATATGCGAAACATAAAAGCAGCTTAAATGAATTGTGTATTGCTTGCATGTGCTTCCGTTATCCCAAAGTCTAACAATAACCCTGCATGTTCGCCTGCATGGAGGAAACATGAGTACACAGATTCTATATGAAGTTTTAAAGAGAATATGCAGTGTTACACATAATGACATACAGTGTCAACAAGCATGATACAGCTCTACTATCCAGCAAACAATGAATTATATTTTCATAAATAATTACATAATGACATAGTAGTGTATCTGCACATTAATTAGCACAACTTAAAATGTTACTGGCATCCATTCTGCCAAAGCTGGCCAGCTTCAATCTCCACGCTGCCATCTTCCTCTATCTTTGTAGTGAATCCAATACGGGAGGAGAAAATTAAATAAAAGCAAACTGTAAATAATTACTTGACTCAATAAGCAGACTGATCTGTATTACAATTCTGAGAAACAGCATATTTGTTATCACAGAGGGTGTCTTGGGTACTGGCTCGTCTTCTTTTTTGCATACATTGAAGCTAGACTTATTTCTCAGCTACTCTACATGCAAACAGCAAATCACGAGGATACGGATCATGAAAGCAACTTTGTTGCATATGAGAAATGTAGAATCTGGCACAGTGTCTGACACGGTTCGTTTTTATCAAGGCTGCCAGAAGAAGACGATTATATCTAGTCGGAACAAGACTTCTTGACAGTGTCAAAAACACAACATATGGAAAAATAAACAGCACTATGGAGGAATATGCACACCTCTGCATCACTTCTGCTATAGAATGATTTCAAGGTTTTTGTGTGAGTCTATACAATATTTTACATCATCTAAAAAGAACAGGTAATCAAAATCCATGAAAAGGGGTGCACTATAAGTATTCCTATCCCTTGGGAAATGAGGGTGTCAGTGGGAATTATTTGATCAAAACTGAATAACTTGTGCAGTTCTTAAAATTCAGGTTATAGCTACATGATTTAAAATTGAATATATTTTCACTTAAAAGTGCAGTCCGACAAAAGATCTCAATGGATTTAAGGGTGTAGGATGAATTCCAATTCGGACAAAATGAGCATAGTTTGAAACATGAAGGTCATCAATTGAGGGCTTTAGAGCTTTAATATATCAACGAAAAATAATTAGAACGATGAACTAGACTGAGCTGTAATATTAAACAATGAATACAAAAAATAAGCATTTAGGGATATCTCTGTACTTAGGAACTTTGACAAAGGACTTGTGTTTTCTTTTTAGGCAGTATTTTAACTGCAAATGATGGTAAAAAAAAAAGGCATGTGCATTTTCTCTGTGAACGATTTGAAATTAAATGTGTACATTTTGAGCATGCAGTCAATACACACATTTCACTGAGCCTTGAGTGTAATGAAAAAAATAAACAAGTTATTTGTACTTAATTATAATTGATTAGCTTGTTGCTCTGCAGATCTACAAATCCACACGTGTACAGATGAAATGAGTGCGGAGGCAAAAGCATTCTAATTGTTGTTGCCTTTTCTTGTAATGTCAAAAATACAATAGTTATGAAATGAAATATTGTTTGCTCTCAACAACCTGACAAATTGTGAACAAATTGTTCGTGGTGCATGCATGTCAGATTTCCATGTGTTCTTGACAAGAGGACAAATGTATTACCATTGTAGCAAAGATTGAGGTTATATCACAATAGAAGTGGTCTTGTTAAAAAAAAAAAAAAAAGAGAGAAAAGAAAAATCCATTACTGAGAGCATCACAGTCCATCATGCTAGCTGATCAAGCTAGCTGTAGCAAGTCATAATAACTGCTACTTTTCAAAGGGGGTTCAACGGGGGGCCGGAGATGCATTTTAACAAGGCCTGGCTGGTGTGACTGCACTCTGCGCTAAGAGGTAATCAGGGGCCAAGTTGCCTGGCAATTTACCTCGCAGTGGCGGGCAATCAATCGCATAGAGAGGGCAAGGAAATGATTCAGCCACGACAAGCACAGGAGAGAGTTAGGGGGGAAATTAGCAAGGGAGTATGTACAGAAAAGGGACGACAGCGCTGTGCAAGTCAATAAATCAGGAATCTCGGTATCTTGTAAGCTGGGGCAAACACAGGATGTACAGGAAGGAGCTGATTAGAATTAAACCAGCGTGGTGTGATGGAATCACCTGCTGAGATTGAGCGATATAGCTGCAATTATGTGCCAATAGGTGGATAAGGTTCAGCAGTGCCTTTCAGTTTGAAATAGAAAAGAGGAAAAGATGTAAATTCAAAAAATAGTTGAGTGACGTGGGAAATCAGCAGTGGATGAGTGAAAGACACAATTTGAACAGGGTTGATGTATTTATTTTTCAGTCTTGGCCTTTCCGTAAGCATGTTGTAATTATTATTCTGTATATAATATGAAACTTTTGTATAATGTCTTCCATTACCTTTGTGAGATTTAGGGGGCTATCTAAAATATCCTCTAGTTACTTTGCAGAAACTGTGTCTTCCTCAGAGATAAGGTCAAAGATGGCAAGCTGTCATGTTATTTTCTGTTCCCCGTTGAAGCTATTTTGTTTTCACTGCAGTTGGCTGTATTTCCAACATGGACACAGGAAGCTGCCCCCCCTTTGCAGTTGCTCTTCCATTAGTTCACCTTGCAGTGCTGAGCCACAGAGTGTAACAGCAGTCACAATTATTCTAGCGCAACACACCTCTTTTCCTTGGTGCATGTCGGGTAATCCTGGCTGCTCTGTCCCTTCATCCATCCCTCCCTCCCAACCTCCCCCTCCCTTACCCACTTCATCCCCCCCCCCCCACCCCTGGCGCTGGTCTGACAGTCAACGGCGGCTGGTCCACGTGGACCACCTGGTCGTCCTGCAGTGCTGTGTGTGGGCGCGGCTGGCAGAAGAGGAGTCGGAGCTGCACCAACCCCACGCCACTGAATGGAGGCACTTCCTGTGAGGGGCAGAACGTCCAGAAAAGTGCCTGTGTGGCCACCTGTCCAGGTAACTCCCAGGCAACCCCGTTTGTCCTGTGGCGCTTGGCTTCCTGTGGCTTCCTTTTTGCATTTTTTTGCATCTAGAAGTCATCAATTCATCTTTATTTTGGCTGCCTTGTGTACCAGCACCTAGGTCTTACCTTAGATGCTAGTGCTTCTGTTGTTTCCTGCAATTAGACCGCTTACACAGCAATGTCAGTCTATTAGTCTTCACAGTCACATCCTAAAAAGTGATTTATTCTTTGTTCACATATCTCCTTATCTGCTGCTCCGGCCTCAGACCACGCTTCTATTTCAGAGACCTGTCTGCTTTAAGAGACATGGTCCAGGCCATTGCATTGTGTCAGACCAGCGAGTACATTAGTTCATGTTTGCTGTGCAAGCTCTGTAGTAAATATGGGCAATACAAATCTGAATGATGGTGGCTTGTGTGCCATGGCTGCGTTTGGGGAATTGAGGGTGTTTCATTTGCCTGCCTGTTCTACCCTGTAAGAGCGTCAGGGAGGCAGAGAGCATCCTGCCTGATACTGAGCAACACATATCGATCTCTGGTAGCCTGAGATGGAAGTCAAGCTGCTTCATTTGCAGTCCCACATTAGTCCCCATACAGAGAGAGAGATAGCTGGATAGGAAAAGGGAGGTGTAAGGTGAAAGCAGGGATAGAGACAGATGGAATTAGATACAGTGTAAGATAGGACAAAGCGCAGAGTGATAGAGAGGAGAGGGAAACTGAGAAAGAAGTAGAAAGAGCCCCAGTGTATACAAGAGCTTGCTGTTTAGCTGCCAGCAGATCAGTGTGTGGACATATAGCCGAGGCTCTGCAGCCATGCTGACCGCAGGAGAAATCTCCCACGCTCGGTAAATAGCAGAGAGGGAAACCCAACACCTCTGGCAGTGGCAGCTTCTCCCAGCCTAAAACAAAGGTTATCTTACTCGGTGAATCAGGGCGTTGTGTTACACATCTCTCATGTAAAGACATCACTCGATGTCAAGCTGGAGTGTAAGTAACATGGCCCGCTGGAATACAGCAGGAGGAGGAAGACAAAGGGAGCACAGCGGTGCGTGACGCTCCATCAGGACCCTATCTGGATGGATTTGGAATTATTAGCGCTGTAGCCACGAGTAATGGAATTAGAGGGGTGTCCAGGGATGCTTGACATTCCCCCACACCAACGCAGGATACTGACCTCCATGAGCTTAAAGAGATTAATGTCAGTCCGAGCCGCTATTGTTAGACTAAAGCCCGCCCCCCTCTCTTTCACTAGCCCCACAAGGAGAAAGTGTGTAATTCCAATCCTTAGGGTGCTGTTGCAGAAATTGTTGCATTGTGCCCTGTAAACACGGTTTGCAGAGACTTTGAAAAAGAGAGAACTGCTCAAACCTCTCTCAGTCCTGTTGTTTGGCAACAGAGAAGCCTCTGCCTTCTTTTCTCACTCGTTACCTGAGATCAGACAGAGCATCAGTGGCACAGACAGCTGTCACATCCCAGAGGGGGCTCCCCTCAAGGCCAGGGTCCACTGCGCCAGAGTCCCTGGATGATGGGCTGTTGTTTTCTTCCACAAGTGCGTACACGCATGCCTCTGAAGTCGCTCAGGATGAACTGACCGCTCCCATCTTTTGTCACCAAGTGCGCACACACAGCCCGTCAATGACTACCCCCAAACAATCCTCAATAGATTTGACAAATACCTGATTAACACATGTATGACTATTAGCCTTAATATGTTAATTAGACTTTCTCCCATTCAGCAAGGGGGGGAACAAATGAGTCCGGCCTTACAAAGAGCATCACAACATACTGGATAACAATTTTCATTATCACTTTGCTTATAGCCTTCGCATGTCTAATCCACCTCACTAACAGAGGGAGATTTCAGTCCATTTGAGACTTGAGAAGAATAAATTACATGGAGCTGTACGCTTCAGAAAGACATCTTGTTATTTTTTAAGACACGGCTGACATTTGGATTCAGAAATTATTTATTTATTTATTTTGTATTTATTTATTTTTAATATAGCCTTGAGAGGCATCCTTACTCATTGCCTTTTGTTTTTGAGTTGCCTTCTTAAAATTACATTTCATTCTATTCTTGTTTCAAGAGTTCATTAATTATCTAGACTCAAATTCTCTGTTGACTGTAAGCTCTCTAGTGCATTTAGCCCACAGCATTTGATCTTTAAAAGAAGAAGCAAAACAAATACATTTAGTTTTTACTTTGATTTTTGCAGTTCCACTCTGTGTTGTCTAAAATACAACGATGGCCTCACAGATTTTGCTTTACCTCTTGTTGGAACCAACAACGGCTATAATTTGTATCTGCATTGCCTGGCTTAGTCTATATATACATGTATTGTTGAGTTGCCGGTGGCCATGTATTGTTCCACATTTCAAAAGTAGCACGTTTCTTTCAGAGCATTACTAAGCTACAGCCACAGAAGCACATTTCCACACACTGACGTCATGTACGCTTCCACAGACCAACACCGTCTACTGTTCAGCAACACAACTCTCCACCTGTCTGTTCACACTTAGTCTGAACAAAAGCTCCAACCTCCTAATTTTGTCTAAGTCTCCAAAGTGTTAAATGAGAGTTGGCAGAGGCCTGTGTGGCTGATCAGATGGGCTCCATGCTGAGAGACACAGGGAGCTGAGGAGGAGGAGGAGGAATAGGAGGAGGAGGAATAGGAGGAGGAGGAGGAGGAGGAGGGGGAGGGGTAATAGGAGGAGGAGGCTAAAGCCTGAGGCTCAGAGCAGAGCAGATCAACACTTGAGTCAGCGAGTAGACAAACTATGCAAGAGCTTATCTCAATTTCACTTCCCTCACTCTGCCTTCTCCTTTTCCCTTTGTCTCATCTCATCCCTTTCCCGCTGAAGTATCCCACATAAATCTGCAGTCCATCCCTCACTCCTTCATTGACTTCAGAGCCAAAATGTCAGATCACGCCAGCATTTCCAACAACACTACCTTAGCCAACAGCAAGTAGTTAGCCCCCTAGTTTCTTTAGTGACACCTGACCGACATAAATTAATGGCACTGTTGCTGAAGTATTAGAGAAGAGCAAACAACCTGAAGACATTTCTAACTCTCGTGAATTATTTAAATGTTGTACTGATTCCTCAGGCTTGCCAGAGGAGCCGTGAGATTTCTACGAGATGGAAAGTAAACAGACTCGCGGCTGGTGTATTTGTACATTCGTACGTCCTTGTAAGTGTGTGTTTGTGCCTGTTTCTGTTGTACACATGCAAGTTAGCGCCCATATGTCGACTGTCTGCACTGCAGGCAAATGTCTAATTTTACTTTTGGGGTATGTGTGTCTCTGGAAATTATCAGTGATTGTTCAGGAGACTTCACATTTAATTCAAGGAATAAGTAAGAGGAATGCCTAATAAATATCAGAAAAACACTCCGATTCGCTGTAGAAAGACGATGGCCATCTGTTGACAGCCTCGCATCAGTGCTGTTTTTAACCGTGCTGTGCCTTTTGTTTTGGTTTACCCTCTTCATATCTTGCATATATAATCATTTTGTTTTGTTCTAGTGGTTTAGTTAACAAAAGGGAGTAGGCGCAGAGTGCATACTACATCCTAACCATGAACAAACATCTGATTTATTAATTCATAAAATGGGACAGAAATACAAAATATGGTCTGATTATGAATTTGAATGAAGAACCATTTCTGCGACTAATCCATCCCTCCCACTGCACGGGTCTGTTGTTTTCTGAGGCTTTTTTAATCAGCCTTTGAACACCGGGATTAGAGCTGGTTACTGTGCACACGTGTGTTGACAGGACAGTGGGAGCAGAGGGGCGGCCTGCTGGTCTCAGTGGTGCTTGTCTACCTCCTCATCTTCCCCTCAAGGACACAGGAACTGTGGGTGTCCGATGATCTGGGACAGTGTCCGTCAGCGGCCGTTGTCATTTTGAACAGCCAAGCCTCAAAGAGGCCCTCCCACTGACCTGTAAAGAATGGTTGGGTTCTTTTGCTCCTCCACCCCTACAGCATGTCCAAATGGGGGCTTGCCACTGGGCTATTGTATTACTTTCACTCCTCAGAGACCTGTCTGACCTAAAACCTGTGGTGTTGCATGATTGAAAATCAGCTGTGGTGCCTTTTGCAGGAGCGCTAACAATCTCTTTCTGGGGATTTGATAAGGAAAACTGGGGATGTGGATAACATTTGAAATAGTAAAAGGATGAGGCTTGGTTCAGATTTCAGCCTTAAATTAAAAAGGAAATCAAGAAAAGTGACAATTTCCTTGCTTCGCTGCATTTATTCTAAGCACTTACTATCCTCCCACTTGCTGTTATGCTGTCCTAACATTTCTCTGGCGTCTGCTGCGCCTGTAAGAAGCCTTTTCTGTTTCTGAAATATTTGCAACATGTGTTCAGAGTCAAACAAACCATCAAGAACTATTCATGCATTTTCATCCTTCCTTGATTTCCCTCAGCCTTGGGTGGCAGTGCTTGTGTCTCATCCACATTCCCGTGAGCAGCACCCTGTTTCCACTGCAATCTCCGTGTTTGAAAATGTTATTTGCATGGCCATTAGTCTTGCTTTGTGGTGTAAAAAGAGAAGTAGAATTTCATCACCTCATCAGGGCAGATGTTGATCTCATTTCACATTGGTGTGGATAAACTGAGGGGCGACATAATATATTCATTAGGATGTAATTCGCTATTCAATCATTCTCGTTCCCAGCCTGGATAATCAGCCTACTGGCCCACGGATGGGTCCACTCAATGCCAAACAAGGACAATTATCTGATTGGTTCTGCTCTCTCTGCCAATGGGATCTGACTGCAAAGAGGCCCTAGCATCCCATAACACACACAGACACACACATTCTCACATTTGGGAGCAGGGTCTAATTCACACACCTGGGCTTCTGGTCCGATACGCTCATAGCGCCATTTACCGCGTTTTCCAATTGATAGTAAAAACACAAATAATATCATTACTTACAGTTATGCAATAATGTGTATCCCACCCCTAGTGACTCTCTCACTTATGTTTTATTAACCAAAGCCTCTAACCTGCAGCGGATAAGACCTGCACTCACTGGGTCATGCCCCCTGCACTATTTATTGCTGGGATTAATGAGCGCTAAGGTTTCCTTGCCCTTAGGTCAGTCAGGAGGAGGGTTACGTGTGTGTGTGTGTGTGTGTGTGTGTGTGTGTGTGTGTGTGTGTGTGTGTGTGTGTGTGTGTGTGTGTGTGTGTGTGTGTGTGTGTGTGTGTGTGTGTGTGTGTGTGTGTGTGTGTGTGTGTGTGTGTGTGTGTGTGTGTGTGTGTGTGTGTGTGTGTGTGTGTGTGTGTGTGTTCTTGGCTGGTTCCCCTTCACCCTTACATTTGGGAAAGTGAGCGAGACAGTGGCTTTTTTTTCCCCCCATGAGAGCTCATTACTGCTCTTTTTCCCATTAGCCCTATGGTAACCCTCCCCAGGCCTGGCGCTGTGTCACTCTCACTATAACTCCCAGCCGCCGAGCTCCCCCCCCCCACCCCTCCAGCCACAGTGCCAAATTACCCCCACCTTTGTGAGATGGCCTCCCTCCCTGCATGTGGTAAAGCTGCTGATATTTCTTATAGCCAGGCCTGCACAGAACAATTACCGGCCCATTTCCATTTGTTTCATTTTGCTCGTGCTGATGGTGGTGTGTTTGAAGTTGTGGTGGACATAAATAGGCTGCAGGTGTAATGTACATTCGTCCCTGTTCAGAGTAATACCACCTGTATTGTGTCTTGCATTCAAATGCACTGCAGGTAATGCCCATGTTGCTACAGTAACGGCTTGTTTGGCTGAGAAATCTAACCAAGGCAGATTTGTTTCCGCTCACAAAATCCCACATTGCACACAAAAACGTTCTACATGGATGTATATCAGTAGATAGAGGGTTATATTCCCAATTGTAAATCTTTTTCTCCCTGTACATATTTAGATTGTTGAAAGCAGAGTCTACCAGGCCACAGCACCCTCAGACCACTGGGGTTTAGCTTAGTTGCATCTTATTTCCATGTTAAAAATAAACAAAGGAAGCAGAGTAGAGACAATATGCTTTTTCACAGCAGTTTTACACGCTTTGGTTTCCCTGTGCATCTGCTGGATTGGAGTGTGTGCAAGTGGATTTGCATGTCTTTATATGGCTTTCCCTACCAGGTTTCCATTTTAGAGCGAGTGGATTTGCACAGGAAGGCTACAGAGTATTCTACCAGTTCTCATCTCACACGCAAATACACCACTGCTTTTACACCGCTGTTGCATCTGAACTTCACTGTGCAAAGTTTTAACAGTTCACAATGTTTGTACAGAGTGTTTGCTTGTTTTATTGGAACTCTTCAGCATGTTTTTTTCAATCAGAAGTTTTACCGATGAATCAGTTGGTGTGTGTGTTTGTGCTCACCCTTGTTTTATGTTGTTGTGTGTGTTTGCAGTGGACGGAGGCTGGAGCGAGTGGAGCAAGTGGTCGGCGTGTGGAGCGGACTGTTCGATGTGGAGGAGCAGAGAGTGCTCCCAGCCCTCACCTGGCACCAGGGGCAAAGACTGCCAGGGGCTCGACCTCCAGTCTCTCAACTGTACCAGCGAGCAGTGCCCACAGAGTGAGTGCACGGACCACCCACGCACTGCAAACCATACTCTCAATTTATAAACTCTGTGCAACAATGGAACATATTTAGTAGCAAAGGTCTTTATTAACAACAGCCAAAATAGAATGAAGTTTAGTGATTTATTTATTTTATTTATTTAAAGCGGAGTATATTCAACTTTTTTTAAAAACAACTTATCTAAAATCTCAAGTTCTCTACAAATGTATATCAAGGCCTGTTTTCTATTCAGATTATGGCAACTGCTTTTGGTATAGTGGGATAGCTGCAGGTATCAGGATTGGATTGATGACGGTGATCTGTTTTTTAACTCGAGGCATTCAGGGCACTCGTGCAAAAAAAACGTAAGCGCGCTGCAATGCTAAAACAGCCTTCAAAACCCTTCGAGAATTCAAAACAATTCCGCCCCAGTCTGCTAAAAAGCACTCTGATCGGGGCCCAAGGCAGGATGAGAAGATGGGAAGGGCAAGGCTTTCCCCTTCATGCTTTTTGTTTTTGTATACAATTTTCACTTTGGCATGGGAACTGAGAATGTCCTCCTCCACTTTTTATTAGACCTCATATACATGTTATGTATCCTTATAGCATCAGTTTTGTGTGATAGACAAAAGGGAAAGAGGTCCATTCCATAAGACACCTGAACTCTCTGAGGACCATTACTGCCTCGTCCACACCTTCGCGACCTTTTAGACCATCAGTTCTAATAAACACCAGTATGACACCCGCTGCTAAAATAATACACAACCTTTTCACCTGCGTCGCTGTCGTGATGCTCTCTAGGCTATTATTGGAGCTGAAAATTAAACCATCTCTCTTCTGATTAAAACACAACCTGCCAGGTAAAGTGCCATGGGTCAAATCGGCCGTGCAATTGCACACACATGGCCAGTGTGCTTGTGTGCTGTGATTTGTGTTTTTGATTTGCATCTCATATAGCTACAAAACCAATGTGTGTTTCAGGTTCTGTGTGAAGCAGCCACTGTGTGTTTCAACAAACCACTTGTCAGTAATAGGGCACGTACATACTATCAGGATCAGAAACCATAAAGCATGATAGCTGAGTGGAAAGTGGCACTGCAGGGTCCAAAGCTGACCAGATGGACATGAAGGGAGAGCTCTGTTGCTCCCCACAGATATCAAACGCAGAAGGTATTGCAGCTTACCATCCGGAAATGATGAGTCTCAGGGTGGCGTCTCATGGATAAAATGTTATATATAGCGTGCTCTTTGGCTGATCTGCATGATAAACACTGCGTTTTAATGGGGGATTCGGTTAACATGGGCCAGTGAATTAATAAACTGAATTATGTATCTTGCATCATTTGACGTGATCAGATAGACCAATGCATGGAGAGCTGGGGGGGGGGGGGTGGATAGAGCTAATGTTTGTTGCATTGTGTACATTGGGTTAGCAAAATGTGTGCGACTACGTGTCCCTGTGTGTGTGCATAAGGATGTGTGTGTGCATGAGGGTGTGTGTGTGTGTGTGTCAGCCGATAGCTGAATATTGGCTGGTGCAGTGAACCAGGGAGCTCAGTCGGCCCATCATCAAAGGTCAGCAGCTCCTCCCCAGAGAGGCAAGATGTATACACAAAGATGCTCGTCATTGTTCCTAATGCACACACACACACACACACACACACACATAGTCACTCAGTATTTACACTGACAGTGCAGAGCGGAGCGCTGGCCTCTGAAGAATGCCTGTCCCAATCTGTTCCCAGCAGATGTGTTTCCATAGACAACGGCTGTGTGAAGTATTATAATAAGCAAAATAGCGCGATGGTTTTGGCTTGTCAGCAACTCCCATACTTCAACCATGTCTGCAGGCTATTAGCTGAAATGGAAAACTTCCCCCCTGAAACAAAAGCCACCCTTCTCTTCTCCAGTGTAATCGAACAATACAACTGCAGAGTGAGCCGTAGTTATGCTGCCTCAAAAAGACGTCCTCTGCCTCTAATCTCCCTCATTAAGCAGGGAATGGCATACGTTGTATGAGGTTATTGTTTTGGGTATTGCATATATGAGAATCAATGTGCGGCTGCAAGCTTTGTGTTGTAGCTCAAACATAAACAGATCTGACCCAGGGAGGATCATTTTCATAAAGCAAACAAAGTGGAGCCCAAGATGGAGCTACGCAAAATCTGTGCAGGAAAATAATAAATAAGCTGGCGACCTGCCAGACAGGTGTTAGAGGGCACCAAAAAGATAGCTGGAAAAATGATACTGCTCGTATTCTCATGCACAGAAAATTACAACAACATAAAAACAATTATTTGGCTTAATGCGTTTAATGAGGGTAATGAACTTAATTTGCAGCAGCATCCACTTTTAGGGTTGTCACAAATGATTGTGCAAAAACCATCAAACCATTAATCTATATTTACTCTGTTTTTGAGTTTGGGAAGCTAATTTGGTGGCGATGCAGCGGATGTTTTAGTCATGGGTTTGTTGTCAGAGTGGGGTCACAGGCTGCATGAGAAATGGCTGAACATTTATTTTGGGCCATATTTCATCGGGAGCCGCTGAGAGATGGGAGGACTGTATTGTGGAGATAGTAATGGTCACGTTCACTTTGAGAGTTTTAGTAGCCATATTTCCCTGACCTTAAGAACTCCTGTGTTATTCATCTTCAGGCAAGTGACTAGGATTGGCCATGGGATGAAATATATTCTCAGGTCTCTTGATAAATGCCCTGGGAGGAGGCACAGGCGACTGCAAAGCTTTTATTTATCAATGCAGGGGAGAGAAAGCAGCAGGTAGAGAGAGTTGAGGACAATCGGGTGCAAACATTGTGCTGACTGCAAATGCAGCGAGAGTCCGAACTTCAGCGGGATCCAGTTACATTGCCTCAGAGGAGATGAATTATAAGTCCATTCCGGCCCATCCCAAGTCAGAAACTGATCCCTTACCAGCTAGCCCTGGAGCGAGTCTCAGGAGCTGAAGTGAAAGCTCAGGGAGAGGGGAACAAACAGAGATTTGCCCGGGGTCAACTCTGAAAACAGCTCATCGCATCCACAGTTTATCCGCAGGCTGGTGTCAATCGTGAAGAGAGGTCACACACAAAGAGAATCAAAAGTTCTCTGCCAGCAATTACGTTAAGTGGAAATGAACGATGGAGTGACGGGCGGCAGAGAGGAAGAGAGGTGTATTGGTAGAGTGTGTGTGGAAAAAGATGAAGAGAGGGCACGCTAGAGGCGGACTAAGGTAAAGCCCATCCAATTATAAAACCTGATTAGCCATTTCAATTAAAATGTGATGGATGTCCTTTCAATTATTGGCTGGCATCGTGAAAATCAATGAGAGCGGCCGGCAGGAGTCGAGAGCAGGTGCTGGTCAGGGTTGTAGTGAGCATCGGGATCGTTTCGCTGTGACACCTGGTGGGTCAGATAAAACTTCACTCAGTGATGCTCCGATAAGCCACCAGAGATATCACGCAGAATAGAGGGAGAGAGGGAGTTGGCTGATTGACTGACTTTATTGTCTGGGCGCAAGAATGGTGCGGAAAAAGGGAAGAGTGGAGATACTGGATCTTTGCATCTGAGGTTAACTAGGTGCCTTTGGTTTGCCCTTAGAAAGTAAACGGCAATTGGCCGATCTAAGGCTGTGTGTATCCAATCAGCAGAGCCCAGTTGGCCTGTCTCCTTGCTGACGGGTGTTGTTTTGTCTTTAGTCAGACTGCACATCCCTCTGTAGGCTGCGGCGCTGCAAGTCCAAATATCACAGCCTTGTCTGACCTTTGACTCACCAAGAGAATTGGATTTGTGAACTTTAATGAGAGGTTCAGCCTTAGTTTTTCCCCTTTTTTGAAGCTCATTGTGGAGGGTGGAAGGTTTAGCCCTGCTGCTTTTCGTTAAGCACCTCTTTGCTTCCCTGAGGAGAGAGACTCAGAGGAAAGAGGCACAGGCAAGTAGGGAGAGGAACAAGATGGAGGATGTTTCCTGTTCGATTCTCCATGTCCTAAGTGTGTTCTGTTCACGTGTTGTGTGCGATGTCACGAACAAAACTCACCATCTTGTTTTTATCTTCAGCCAGTTATTCACAATTGATTGCGTGTCAAGAGATCTCTTGCATTAAAACGGGCCGCCAAAGAGCCCTGCTGCATATAATCCCGCTACTTAAGGTATCAGATTGTACTGAGATAATCACCCATGAAATAGATTCTGGCATTTCTCTTAAAGACTCGGGTATGTCAGGCGGCTTTGTCCAAACAATTGGATTTTTCAAGGCAAAAGGAGAAGGCAAGGACAAACGGATGAATAGACATTAGAGTGAGACGATGCTTTTTTTGACCATTTTCTATTTTTTTTAAATTAGACTGTTGGAACTCTAATTTAATTGTGCAATTCTCATATCTCAGATTCACTAACACCAATTAAAAGTTGTCAAATCGATGCTTCCACTGTTAAGCGCAGTTCCTGCTGAGCAGTAGCATTACAGTGTGGGGAAAAAGAAGGCCATTACAGTCTGGTAAAATTCATCGTAATATGTCCTATCTAATGTTAATCAGGGCAATTTTGACAGAAACCTTTTGGACGTGTTATAGCTGCTTATTGCTGAAATGTAAATCACACATGCTGTCAGATACATGCCCATGCTGTCACCCTGTTAAGTCTTTTTTTGTCCTCTTTAATTCTAATCTTCAGTCCTGTACGTTTGCTCCTCTCCTCCTGCTTCTGTCCTCCTCCTTTTGTCGTCAACTCACCACACGCCAGCCTGCAGCACTTTAACCTCTGCCGTTGTTCCCCGTCCCTCAAAGCTGCGCCGCTCAATGCGTCCCCTCCTTGACTGTGTTCAGCTGACAGCACTACGCCCCCGTGGCTCCCGGGGACAATGGCCCTCCACAAAGGCCCCAGGAGCATCCTCCACTTCCTCCACAAAATGTCCCCAGCCATGGGAGACAGCCGTAGCAAATCCCATTCTCTTGAAAAACACACACACACACACAGACACATAATACATACACACAAATGCAAGCACACATTGCTGTTTGTCTGGGCTTAGCTGTCATCTTCATACTGTACTTTTGGGAGAAAGAATCTTCCTGCTCCTCTCTGATGCTTTTGAAAGAAAGAGACATTCAATAAGAGGTGCTAGAATTTCATAAGCAAATCCTTCATTTTTGCACCATCTCTCTTGGGGGTGTTGTGTGCTTAGAGAGGAAGAGACAAGGGAGAGAAAAACATGCAAGATCTATATATATCGAGAGCTGAAATGAAGGAAGGTAACACTGCTGCAAACCTGCCTCAGAAACTCATTTTCTATTGTCCACAGGTTGACACTCAAGCTCAAAATTAAAATGGTTATTTAATATTAGCTAATGCTTGCTCTCTTCACTGCATCAAACAGACATGGACATAGTCAAGCAGCATTAGTTGGCAAGCAATGAACTCATTTCATAAACTCTTTAAACAAATTAACAAGATGCTCAAGTGAGACCTTTGCACAGAAGATGTTCCAGCAGAACTCATCGGGTGTTTTAATCTTAATGTTTCTCTCTTGTTTTGTCTGGTCCCCTTGCAGCGGTGAGCGGGGCCGAGGACGTGGCGCTCTACGTGGGCATGGTGGCGGTGGCTCTGTGTCTGACTCTGCTGCTCATCGTGGTGGTCCTGGTGTACCGGCGCAAGAAGGAGGACCTGGACTCCGATGTCGCCGACTCCTCCATCCTCACCACTGGCTTCCAGCCCATGGGCATCAAGCCCAGCAAGCCAGGTGTGTGGGCACCGCGGCCACGCAGGCCTCCCCCCCACAGCAGTAGGACACTGTTCTTTGTTTTACCCTCCTCTGTGCATCCGTCGGTCTGTCCGCCTGCCCACTGTGACCGTGTGGCACTCATCTACATGTGCCACCAAGTCTGTTTGAGGTTGTGGAGTCGTGTGAAAGTACAATCAGCATAAGCAAGATGTAATCTGTTGTGTTTTTGTGTGGGTGTTGTGAGCTGTTTATTTGCCTGCCTGACACATTGTGTTTTGCCCCTTCCTCATTGTCAGGAAATGTACCCACTCTGTTTACTGCCTGTGTGTAGCATCTCAGGTTTACCAGCAAGTAATAGAAATACAACTGTCTGAGTTGGATGGAGATGGGGAACTGTGTTGCAGTGCCTGTGATTCACCGTGAAAAAAAAAGCCTATATTCAGTCTGGGTGCTAAGCTCTATCTGAGTTCTGTTTGGAATTGATTGTGTGGTTGCTAAACAGACCGAGCGAGATGGAGAGAGAGGATGTGAATTGACTGGCTTTGGGTGGAAATTGTGTTTGTGTAATGTCAAGAGTGTGTGAGTCTTCTGTTTTCCGCGCCATGTGTCTTTCCTGTGTTTGTTTCACTTTTCGTTGTGTGTTGCGACAGCTTAAGAGCGTGTGAGGTCTGTCTCTGTGATGTATGAACCCCCCTTTGCCTGCCACTCATTGAGTCTCACACAATTGCTTTTGTCTGTTTCTTCTTAATTATTCCAACAGAGAATTCCCATTTGCTCACCATCCAGCCTGATCTAACCACAACCACCACAAGTTACCAAGGCACCCTACGCTCTCGCCCTCACACCACGGGGAAGTTTTCAATGACCAATGGGCCTCTGCTAGACCCGCTACCAAACGGCTCGCACACGCTGCACAACGGCAAGCTCAACTCTGACCCTGCTGAGTTTGTCAGCAGGCTGTCCACTCAGACCTACTTTAAAACGCTGCCCCGTGATGTAGCTAACACCTCCTATGGGACCTTCAATTTCCTGGGAGGCAGGCTGACCATCCCCAGCACAGGTGGGTTCTTCTTAGGCTCATACAGGCTGCCCTCACACATGTAGTTCAGGAGAAAAAAATTATAAATTGTTTCCTTTAAAGGGTTGTTCCACTTTGTCTCATTGACTTCCTGTTTTTTTTTTTACAGGAAGTCAGTTTAAACAAGAAGTCACATGGTCTGATAGATAATTAGTTCATTAAACAATGTTGTCATCCTGACACATTAGTACTTATCTTATCTTATCTTACCTAAGCTCTTTGAGCGGCTTCTCTGGGTGTTGAAAAGAGTTGACAAAGAAATTATGTATTATTTCTTTGTCAACTCTTTAGGAATTGTAAGAGTTTATGCTTCCCTCGTTGTAAAAAAGGAACTTCTAGAATGCACAATCTATTTGTCATACTAGACAATGACTTTATAATATATTTTTAAGAGATTTCTGAGACTTCTTTTGGACTTACTATACCAGGAATATAATTATATATAATATTTGTATTCAATAGTATAGAAACACTTTTAATATGATACAAGAAGCTAAAAACGTCATGTCAATGTCATTCTATACTATTACTTATTTTAAGTGCACTAGTACTTTTTACTTTTCTTTTTTGTTTGTCCCGTTTCATTTTGTGATACATGATGTTTACTTGCAATTTTCCTCTAACAATGCCCATAATCATTTTTGAGAGCTATTTCTGACACTGAAAAAGACCCAAAAAACACATAAGGTGCAGTTAAGTGCAGCAGGAGTTGCTCTCAGGCCATGTAGCCAGATGATCCCTAATCTTTCCAATCACTAATTTTCCTGCCAGTCCCTGACTCTTTATGTCTTCATCTAAGGCAACAATACATTATTTTATCATTCTAGATCCAGACTATGATTTTCTGTTTGAAGCTATACTTCAAACAAACAAAACTATACTAACAATGTATCATCTAATCTACTAAATGTAAAAACAACTGTGGGAAGTCAGTCTTGCTGCATTGCAAAATGCATTGTCATTGCTTTTCCATTAAAAAAAAATATATATATATATATATATATTTACAGAAACGTAATTACACCTGCCTTAATGACACAAAGTCTCTTACTGGACGTTAACAAGGAGAATTGAGAGGCCCCACAAATGCATGAAGGGCTTGTATAGCTTGGTGATTAAAGTGGACTGAAGTCACAAATCCAAATTTGACATATAGCATCTAAACAAGATCCAGTTAAATGTGTTGTCAGTACAGTACATCTGCACTACACAGCATGATTAGTTCAAAAGCTCCATACTGACTAACTATAAAATATAAAGTCTGCACCAAATATTCCTGGAATAAATGCATAAATGATTCCTGGAATAAAACCTTGAACCAATTATTCCAATTAGGCCCCTTGCATATGACAAAGCTGGTTGAATTGGTAGCTGATGTACAAAAATGTCAGTTGTGGGCTATGTGCATGGACACAGAAATGGAGAGTCCATTAAAAATGATTCTGATAAAAGATATAAAAAGCCCACCATCATTAGTGCCCTGTTTTGCTTCCCCTTTTAACATTAGCTGAATACAGAGCTTACATAATTATACTGGAAGACAGTGTGTCCACTTGGCTCATTGTAGGCTGTCCAGATTATTCCATGACAGTACCAGTAAGCCAGTATCTTTTTGGAGAAAAGGGTATTTTCTTCTTGTGTTTTTGCTCGCCATCTCTCTCCATCTTCTGTCTCTCTTTCGCACTCTTATAGATATGTTATGCTTGGATTAACTCAAAGCCATGTATAGTATACCACGCATTGGCACCCATCTTTTCATCGGGACACAGAAAACAAATAATCTTTACTCAGAGGAGCTATGCAGCCATTTAGTAGAGTTTCAGAGCTGGCACTTGGAAGACCGTTCATAGATTAAGCCTAGACTGTGAGCATTCAGGCACCTTGGCTTTATTCAAACAGATGTTTTTATGGTAAGCAGACCCAGTTTACAATTCAGAGATTGAGTCACTGTTTGTACCACATTTTATTCTAAGTGGATGATTTTGGCATGAGAATCACAACACTAATGCCACAACACTCAAACTACCTCAATAGCTCTCTCTATTCTCCAAGGTGCATTCCCACACTCTCCTGGGGAAGTGTAATCTTCCTTGAGTAGTCTGTTCCATGGTCTCAATTATCTACTTGGTGGCAGACTGAGGACATTTAAACTGCGGTGCAGTGTGTGCTTTTGTCTCAGCTAATTGTTGACCGTGGGGACGTGTGCCGCCTCTGCTGCCGGTGCATAGATTTGCATCTACTGTACCTGACGGAGGCTGCCTCTGACCTTCAGAATAGATTTGTTTTTCCTATTTTTTGTAGCCACAGTTTTGTTCAGTGGGCCCGCTTCCTTTGTGAAATGACAAAAAACGTTGTTCAGTCAGAACAAATGAGCCTGTCCCTCTCTTCCTTATCCCCGCTCTCTCTCTCCCTTTGTTGTTATTTGCATTAGGAATCAGTCTGCTCATTCCTCCCGAGGCCATCCCCAGAGGAAAGATCTATGAGATTTATCTCACTGTTCAGAGGAAGGAAGATTTAAGGTGGGTCTCTTTAACACAGCCTAACTGGCAGTCTTCCCTGGATGCGACTAGGCTGTTTGTTTTGATGCTCTACTGTTCCATTAGGAAAGGCTTAGGAGTCCATGCCAGCACTGTGGAGGACAGATGTAAATAAATAGAGTAGCCTTTTACCTGGGTGTGCACTATTTAAGCTAAATTAATTGTTTGTAAAAAAACTGTTGATCTGGCATGCTGCATCTAGTCTCAGAAGGCACAGCCATTGTATCATGCTGTGGTAGTGTTATGTTATTACTCAGTCATCACAACCAGGTCCAGGCTTTCATTATTCTCTGTGGCAGCTGCCAGATAATTTGCAGAGGTGGAGGACAGTGTTGCATCCTGCTTACAAGAGACCAGTAAATTCTCACTAATAACCTGATGAGTAAAAGTACTTCCTCCGGAGTCATTCCCCTCTTCCTCTTTTCTCTCCCCGGTGTAGGTTGCCCCTGGCCGGCTGCCAGACCCTGCTCAGCCCTGTGGTGAGTTGTGGGCCTCCGGGGGTGGTCCTGAGCCGGCCGGTTATCCTCAGCATGGACCACTGCTCTGACGCATGCCTCGATAACTGGGCCGTCCGTCTCAAGAAGCAGAACTATGAGGGCACTTGGGAGGTGAGACAGCGCTATAACTCCAGCACCAGCACTCACAAAAAGACAGAGTTGCCACCCAGTGAATTTGTTCAGTCTTACTAAACTCAATGAGGGTTTTCTTTGAAAAAGTACAAACTTGTTCAGTAGTGACTGGAAGCAGGCAATGGAAAAGCACTCCATGCTATATAGTGGAAGTAGTTATAGCACAGCACTCATCCACTCTATAGTGTTTAAATTATATTGACCATCAGGTGTTTTCTCCCTGGGCTGGAACAAAAGCCTGGGTATACACACTTTCCCCAGCTCAAGAGTTGCTAGGCAACATGTTTCTGAAAACAGAAATTCTCTAAGCAAATTACTGATCCTCAAAGTACTCTCCTGAGTGCTCCTTGACCATTTCTGACCGCCGCTTCCAATTACAGAGTTCCCTCCCCATTTTTGTATCCATGAAATTTGAAAGTAACCAGAACTGCTAGACTTAAACAGACACACACACACACACACACACACACACACACACACATCCATGCAAACAAATGCGGTTTGAGTCAGTATACACATCTTCGCAATCCAGAGAGATTTGAAAGGGTGCTGGTGGGCTTTGGAGTGTTAGTAGGTCTTCTTTCATGTTCGATATTGTGCATAAATTATTCAGCCTCCCCGTGTGTGGTGTCTGTGGGATGGATTGGCCTGTCTGAGGCAGAGGTTAGACCAGCACTTTTAATCATCGGCCAGACCAAATATAGCCCAACGGCCTAACTGCGTGTCCACCAAAGGTAGAATGAGAGAGGAAGCATCTGCAGAGAGTGTGAAGAGAAGTTAAATGAAAGAAAGGAGGCAAACAGGGAAAGGCAAAGTGGACATGCTGGTAATGTAGATGTAGAGTAACGATTAGAAAGAATGGAAGATTACAAATATGACCTAGCAAAGAAGAGTAAGACATAGAGATGAAAGTGAAAATGAACATGCTGAAGCGAAAGGAGTTTGGGAAATAAATTGATCGTAGAGCGAGCGTTCAGCGGCGTAATGGAGCCACCTCACCCTCTGCTCCACTTGGAAGAAATATTAAGATGATGAAAAAGTGAGACTCCATTGTGGTTGCATAGCAAATGAATTGTGTCAATACTAATTCTATTGACGTAGATGGTGTCTGGTTGAATCGATTCTAGAGGGGCTCGCTGGGCATTTGGCAAGCAGAATGCTCTCTTCAGCTTGATTGGCTAATGAGAAGAGTCAGTCAACTGGCATGATGGGATTTTAGAGAAAATGTTGTCACCTTGGGTCCAATTTGTCCCCATTAAATTAGCCCGGAGAGCAGTGATATTATCTCATAAAACTATCCCATAGTGAGATGTGATAGGATATCTTCACAAGTCTCTCATCTTTATTAGAGATTCATTTGTGAAACGGCTATGTGACAAAGCAAGAAAAATGTAGCTTCTGTGACATGTTTAGATCAGTGTTTATGTTTTTCTACTTGGCATATCAAGTTACAATTCATTTAATTAATGACAAGTTTCACTGCCATGCAAGGGTGTTGTTTAACAGTTACATTGGCAAGTTGTTTTCATCCTCCTTAACAAATCTCAATGGCTGAAGTAAATTCCGGAAAACCTAACAATCCGATATTTACTGCACCGCCACAGGTTTTTCTTTCTCCAGCACCATCTATTCTTGCCAGGAATCTATTCGAGTCTCCTTTCATGTCAATTGAATACCTCGTTCATGCATTATTAAGTAAATTGATGGTGTTCTATAGGATGTGTGTCTTTTTTTATAAAATGTGTGTTTTCATGTCAGTGAGTATGCTGTGCTGAAAAGGGAATTTGACGCTAAAACAAAATATTCCTTGTTGTCCTGATATAAAGTTAGTGACCCAGACACTTGTGGAACATTTCCTTATAGCATTTGGCTTTAATGTTACTTTGTCACGCTGCAGGAGGGACATACATGGGGGCCTTGCTACTGTGCCAAACTGCTTTCCTAACAACCCCTTTACAAACACACAGCCACATTAATAGACATAAGGTACCCAGGCAAACACATTACCCTCCCTGCTTCATAATCTGGGCGCTTGACCTTCATTTCACATCTTTTTTTTGTCCCCCTCGCCCCCTCCAGGACGTCCTGCTGATGGGAGAGGAGCTTGTGTCAGAGCCCTATTACTGCCAGCTCGAGGCCGAGACGTGTCGGCTCTTCACGGAGCATCTGGGCACCCTCGCCCTGGTGGGGGAGTCCCTGCACATGGGGGCTGCCAAGCGCCTGAGGCTGGTGCTCTTCTCGGATGCTTACTGCTCCACACTGGAGTACAACATCAGGGTCTACTGCATGGACGACACACAAGACGTCTTCAAGGTAAATTGTGACAAATGCAGCGCCGCTTATTATCTGTTTGTCTGGCGGTCTCTAAGCCTGAGACTGCATGGGCCGAGTGGTTTCACATCACCTGAGTGATAGGCAGACTATGGCGGGTAATAGCATTGTCAGTCACATTTGAAGGTTAGTAGATATCAGCCAAGGCATGTAGGAGTTAGGCGTTGCCATGGTAAATTGAACAATGTTGCAAGCCTGATTACACCATGTGCAGAACAAAGGTGTGTAATTTGTGGCGCACATGTTCCCCCTCTTGAAACAATGCATATTTCCTGATTATTGATAATATACATCTCGATGTCTGAGTGCATTTTTGTGTGAATGCCGACAGAGATGTTTAATCCTCTCCTGCTGTCAGTGGTTCCGCTTGGCTGCCGAGGGCCAAGAAGTTTCCCATCACTTTGTTCAACAGCATATTTCGCTTCTCTTTTTCTGCGCTCCACATGGACAGAGTATAATCAAGCACTAATGCCTTCCTCCCTCCCCCGAGGACTGCCTCTAAGTAGCCTGTTAAGATTTCATTTGCATGGTTAATTAGTAAATTAAAAGGAGAGCCTGCCCCAATCTTTTCCCAGCAACCCTGGGCTCTCGCTATTTCTCCCGGCACCCCTCTCCAAGCTTTTCCTCTTCATCTGACACTCACAAAATGAGCCACTTCCTCATCAAGTCCACGTTTGCCAGCTGTAATGGCTGACCTCCGTGTGCAGAGGTTTGCCACTGACACAATCTATGTATGGCTGTGGGACATAAACAATGGCAGACAGTGGGGGCTCAAACTGAAATTAGCACTCTCATATTCAAGACGCTGCAGATGAGATGAAAACTGTGCACAGCCTCTAGCTGTGGGGCGAGAATTACCAAAATCTCTCTTCGCTTACATCTGTCTCTTTGTGGCTCAATTTTGCCCCTGCTGATATCTCTCTGTGGTTCTCACAGATATTGCATGTTAGCAGGCATGCTGAGGGAAATTGTAGGCTGACATTCAACTGGGTGTTGAAATAAATGTAAAATGTATCATACAGGAAGTAAAACCTTAACAGCTATCTCAGCTCTGCAGAGAAAGCACTTTATGCAGATATCAACCTTGTTTCTGTTTACTTGCTATCAAAGCAGTTGTAATGAAGGGGTTGTCTCTATATATTCAGATCATAGGGTGACCCAGTGGTGTTTTGCTGCAGTGTGACTGTTGAAATGACCTTGCGCGTCCTGTGCTGGATGCAGGAAGGCTGCTGGTGCACAAAAACTCTTTCTGTGTGTGTGTGTGTGTGTGTGTGTCTCCCCCTCTGGCTAGCTCTTGTTCTGCTATTCTCCCCATCTCTTAGCCAGGAAAAGGACATCTGAGCTTGTTGACTCCAGCACTTGTGCTGCCGTACTCTGCGGCTCCCCCGGCGCCCTTGAGTGCATTAGCTCCGCGTTTCTCACACAACCTGGTCCTGTGGTAAGCCACGGCGTCTCCAGGGTTTTGTAGTTTTTAGTGAGTGATTTAGAAAGTGGCCCACACTGTTTAGTAATCTCGACTTCACACTGCTCTTTGTGCTATTATGGAGGGAGCAGTTCATTTAGCAAGTACATTAACCACTTTGAGTGGGGATTAAACTTCCCCAGAGAGTTTCAGCCTAATCACTAATCACTATCTTTAAAATGCACCATTTATGATTAGACTTTCACTATGGCTACCATTAGAGTTAATTGTAGTGTGCAACATTGGAGGAGTAGCAGTGTGTGGTACTGTGCAGCGCCACAGCAGCCTGTTTTATGTTTCTGTTGATGTACAAGTACACCTTCAGCATTTTATGACAGTCTGCAAATGCACTTTGCCTCGTTTTTCAGACAAGAAGTTGACTTTCCATGCATTAAAGCGGCTGTACTTTTGATGGGAGATGAAAAAGCCGAGCAGAAAGGCATTTATCTGCTTTTCCTGCTGGCTGCTCAGAAGCAGAAGGATCTGTGGAAATCCTACTGAGGTTTTCTCTCCAGTCCCCCGCTGGGCTGTCAGTCTTCTCTGACAATCCTCCATCAGTGAAAATGACATGTACACACACCCACTAACACATACACAAATGCTACACTAATGCACAATCTCTTATCTCCCAATTACAGCAGATTAGAACCAATGTTATTGTCTTTGATCCTAAGTGTGTGGGGGCTTTTGGGAAACAGTGACATTTCCGTCTGATGCTTGCCGTATGTTGGCAGGACTCTGCTGGGACCAATTAAGTTAATATTTAATGTGTGTCCCACTCTTGATGGGCCCAGCCAAGGCTGGCGCAGCAGCAGAGGAGACATGATCTGCGTTTGGTAGCGCCCTCACTGTGCACTCGCTTGTTCCCAGCAAGACCTGTGGGAAGGCTTCACTGATGTTGTGCCATCCCACCACTGATTGAAACACCTGCAGTGAAGCAAGCCTCTGATTCAATACAGAGACATACATAACAGCATCATCTAATTAAACTGGATGGGGGCCAGAAAGGTGTCGTTATAGGAACGAAATATGGTGCGGCTGTTTTTTTATTTTTAGCTGCGGAATTCACAATCTGTCAGCTTTTGGTTTGATGAATAAAATGCTCAGTATGTTTACCGCTGAGCATAATCCATGTTGAATAGTGGAACATAAAAACATGTTTATTGATAATCAAATGTTCTTCCTTTACACCCACATGTCTGTGTTTGTAAGGCCAGAGTTGTTGTAGGCCTACAGTTATCATGAATTATAAACCACCCACTTTCTGTCAGATTTACTGTTCTCATAGAGGTTGAAATATAAGTCAGTTTTTATGTATCGAGTGCTAGAATTTATGAGAGGCCACCATAAATACTAATCCAGTACATTTTGCAATCTGGATTTTTTTTGTGCCATGTTGGCAGCAAAGCTCTATTGATGGATGTTCATCCATTACTTTGGTCCACATAGAAAAATCTCTATTGAACAAACTAGGCCTATTGGATATATTACCGTGTTTATTTTTAAATAAACTGTCATGTCTCTAGAAATTCATCCTGACTTGTGATATCCTGACTTCCCCCATTAGCAATAGCTTTACTTTGTTTTTAAAAACATGGTTAATATCATACCTGTTAACATAAGCATTTTAGCATTTTTCATGTAAATTATGAGCATGCTGATGTTAGCATTGAGCTCAAGGCCCTGCTGTGCCTAAATGTAATCACAGAGCCCCTATCATGCTTTGTGGACTCTTGAATCATAATTTTAGTGAGTTTATGTGACATTTAACAGCCATACATTTTCCCAAATGGTGAGGAAATGAGTGTTAACTCCCTTTGTACTCCCAGTATTGTATTTCAGACTACAGAATTTACGCTTTCATCAATATTCATGTAACAAGGCCAATACATTTAGCTTTTAGTCTCTCGATTGTAAAAATGTATGCTCTAGTGTTAAATGGGTGTTTAATTGATGTCCAACTGGTTAAACTGTGGCTCCTGGAGTCTTTTATACAGTGTTTGACCTCAAGCTATTATTCTTATTTGTGTTTAAAAGGGCCCATAAACTCTTTATGTGCTCCCTCCACTATGACGTTTTCTTCCTGAGCAGCAGGCTACATATGAACAGAAGCGTTTGGCTTTAATGTATCGGAGGAGAGAAAACCAGGCTTTACAGAGTGTAATGCAGACTCTCTGATCACTCCATCAACATAGTTACTGACAGGGAATTCCAGGAAAAATAAATACAGAAGAGCATAGCCCAGTAATTGCTGGCATTAAGTTGAACTAGGCAGTCGGCTTTATCACTGCACCCAGCAGAGAAATTGTTTCCATATTATATTTCTGTGTTCCTGTGTGCTGTTTTCTGCCATTCCGCTCTGTGATTTATCAGGCAGAATGTGCATCTTTTCCCAGGCAAACACAGTCCCCATTTATAACTGAGCAGACAAGTCCCTTCTATTTGTAGTTATTAATCAGAGTTGACTGTAGCGGGCACGGCCACTGGAGCTCAGACTGATAGACTCTCAGTCAGAGAGGAAAAGCCTGTCACATCCTGCTGACAAATACACAGATTTATGGAGCCCACATAGCCAGGCTACTCTCTATAAACAAATGCATTTGCCTGAAAAGAGCCGCTCTTCAAATGGATCGTCACTATGAATGCACATTTTTTAAACATGTGGGGACACAACATTGCTAAGAGACGCGGGTTGAGGATAAGTTTATGAGGATATTAAAGCCTGTGAATCTCCCTATGTTTCATGACATGTAGCTTGACTAATTAACTGATCAAACGTTAGCTTTAATCCCCATCAGGGCTAGTTAAGTTAATCGGTTTATTACACACCAATCCACAACAATAGGAGACCACATGTAGTAGCTTGACCTTGCTGTGAGGGAAGCAGCATATTTTAATCCACAGCTTTGAACCAGTCCAGTTCTTTTTTTATATATGTATATACAGTTTATATATAGGCCTCTGCAAATACTTTGATTTCCTGCATCCAATGGCTGGCTGTTTTCATTGCAAGAGAGAGTTTGGTGCAGCCACTAACCTCTTTCTGTCAGCACCAGCCCGAAGAGATTAGCTGTATGAGTGTCTCTTGTTTCCCAGTGGAGCCCAGCCCCAGTCCATCACAGTCCCAGCTCCGGTCCAAGCCGGGAGGATGAGGGGACGGGTGAGGAGCGGGGCTGGGAGATGAGTGAGTAAGGGTGGGAAGGGGGTTGAAGTCATAGAAAAACTGTGGCCATGATTGCAGTAATCCTGTTATCTGTCCTGCTAAAGCTGGCCACTCTAGTGACCTGGAGACACAAATGTTAAGCCGCCTCTGTCTCTCTCTTCTTTCGCTCCTACTCTTTTCATTCCTCCCTGCTCTATCTCACTCTCTTTAGCCAGCCTCATTGAATGTCAGGGGGTGGTCTTGGCTCTGCCTCGCTCAAATTTACAGTCTTCACACACACCACAGGCTATCTCAAATTCCGTCAGAACAAAAGGGGTTTTTCTCCCGCAGTACTTGAACTTCTCGCCCATCTCATGCATCTTAATGTGTCCACAGTTGTACAAGGGGTCAGGGTGAAGAAACCGCTCCTCTTATCTTTACCGACGGCAAACGCAATTTAGCACCAACTTGATGATTAATATGTGATTTGATAAACTAATTCAAAGGCCCTGCTTTGTTTTTCCACAGAAAGAGTAAATGATACGGTTAAATTTAGCTTCTCATCTATTAGCTCGCTCACACTGTCATTTGTTAACAGGATAATGGGGCGTAAAGAGGGCCATTATTCTCTCAGTCCAGAACATATGCTGAGACCCTGCAAAAATATCCACTCTGATACACACTCACAGGCACTCAGGAACACATAAACAATATACAAGCGAGACAGTGTCATTTGAAAGCGAGGACATGCGTGTCCGTGCTTTAAAGCAGGAAGTGTTTCATCCTGTGTTTTGTATTTCAGTAGGCTCAGTGTCCCTGTCAGGCAGTGCCATGCCCTAGACCCTGTTTGGTAGTAATCCTGCCGTGTCAGCCTTGAACCTGACAAACTGCTAGACAGGCAACTTAGTATTCACTCTAGTAGCTATATGTTGATAATCAGATAATTGGCATTCCAAATGCTCTGTCTTGCTAGCAAGCCTAAAGATCTGCTGCTATATGTCAAAGACCTGATCAAAGCCCACCAGCCCTAATTTGCAATGCTAATCGCCCCCCAACAAATAATTGTCTTTAACAACTGCGTTAAATGAACCTCTTTGGAGCCCTCATAATGTGCCTTTTGTCTGTGTAAGAGACATAATAGCAGAGGGCTTTTCATTCTGTGGAGAATGCACTGCCCCCTGTTATTAACTCGTTAGACCTCGACGCTTTGATTCCGAGCCATTGTCTGACCTTCCCACTCTGAGTAAGTGGTCTGGGTAACATCACAGTGAGGAGAGTATTCCAGCTGACTACAGTACATACAGTCAGATCGTTGTACATCTTAAATGTGCTGCTGCGGCATTCGGGAGAAATGAATAAACCAATGTAAATGTAGGAGTGGAGATGGATCATTTTCGTGTTAACAAGAAGATAAGCATTAAGCAAACATGGAAATTAGCAATGCACTGCGCAAACATGGAAATGCAATTCTTGGGGCCGTAAGCGAAAAAAGTGCTTATTCAGTGAAGAAGCGAGCACATCAAATAACAAAAGCTGGTAGAGATTCCAAATGGATAATTAACAGCTTCCTTTCCATTATAATTGGAATCAGGCTAGCCCGTTCCTGGGAAAGAGGGCAGAAAATTGAATCTGTGTTGTGCAGATAGAAATTACTGCCATTCTCCACCTTAATGAGATGTCTTTGCTGAAATCATACCGTGGGCCGCCATGCAGCGCTCAACATATGGCCACTATCTATACCCACATCTCCCTCTTGGAGCTTCTGTCTTTGAGATATGTCTCCGAGACTCTGAGGCACATTCTGCCTGCCTGTTTGCACATTGCTGCCATCTTGTTTCCCTCCTCAGACAGATTAAAAGAACATATCTTGTTTCTGAGGTCTGTTTTTCTTTGCTGTAATATGCTCTCTTGATCGGAGGTAGTACATGTGAACGCCGTCCAAAGTATTGGATTCTTAAAGACTGGTTCAGCACAAAGCACCCGGCTCAAAATTAATTGATAGATCAGATGAAAACGGGGCGGATATTATCATCCCATTCCAGATGGTCATTTGGATGTCGACAAATGGTCCGCTGAGCAAGTCCCACAGAGATTAAAATATTAAGCATGCATTTACAAATCTCTCCTGGCACAAAAACAAAAATGAAATTAAGGGGATTCGCCATGCGAGAACAATGAGCAGTTGACTAATGGCTCGTTCACTTCCTTCATCACAGCCCAGGTAGCTGGTAGGCCGGGGAGGCTGCAGTATTCGCATGTTAATGCAGCGGCTGGGACTGGGCACACACACACACACACACAGCGGATCAACCTTGTGGTGACATTAAAGCTCTGCGGCCGCATGCAGGGAGACTACCTCTCTGTCCTAAGATGTACTCCAGCCCTGCCTCATGCTCGTGCTGCGTTTGTGTTTCTGTGTGTGTATTTTGGACAGAAATCTAAACTTTAAACACCACATTGAAGTTCTAACTAAGAAATTGAAATTCACTCTTGGCTTCCTGTACAGACTTAAACGTTGTTTTTCAACTCCTTCCCGTAAAAGGTTGGTCTCTGGCTTATTCCTGTCCCAGCTTGACTTTTTTTTTTTTCTTTTTTAACCTTTATTTAACCAGATAAAAACATTGAGATAAAATCTCATTTTCAATGCTGACCTGGCCAAGAAGGCAGCAACGTTACACATAACACATAACACAAACATATAAAATACAGAGAACATAACTAAGAAAACAAAAGACGACTACGGTGATACAATCTATAGATTTGCCTGTCCCACTGTTTTGGCCAAACTTCACCCTCTCTACCATGCTGCACTGCGATACATATCAAATGCACCCTATAGGACTCATCATTGCACACTGTATAGCCTAACTGGATGGTCCTCACTTACTATGCGTAGGATGCAGCATTGGTTTTTATTATTGTACAAAGCCATTTTAGGTAAGCTTCCACTGTAGATATGTGCCAGATTTGCTCCAGTTTGTGACTCTTACAACCTCAGAACCAGTGCCTGGATACGGTTCCACGTACCTGCTGGAAAAAGGAGTCTTTTTTTATCATGGTCCTTGGTCTTGGAATGACCTTCAATCAAGCCTCAAACTGATGGCACTTGTCCCAATAGCCTGTTTTAAATTGAAGTTGTCTGAGGTCCTTACCACCAGCTGCTCTTGCAATAATAAGTAGTGTACCTTACTGTCCCAAATGTGCACAATGTAGTGACTGCTTTTCGTCTTTTTGTTTACTTAGTTGTGTTTTCTATATTTTATATGTCTGTGTTATGTGTAACGTTGCTGCCTTCTTGGCCAGGTCAGCATTGTAAATGAGATTTGGTCTCAATGTTTTCATCTGGTTAAATAAATGTTAAATAATATTAAAATAAAATGTCCCACCGCTATGTACAGTTTTGTGTGATTGATGCACCAAACAGGAAGTCTCCACGTTTATGAATTGTTTTGCACATTTTCACTTACCTCTGTGACTGTGATGGTTAATGTGTTTCCTCTGAGCCCTGACGCCTCTCCTCTCTCCCCCGCCTTTCATCAGGAGGTGATGCAGATGGAGCGGCAGCTCGGGGGTCGGCTGATTGACGAGCCACACATCCTGCTTTTCAAAGACAGCTACCACAACCTGCGCCTGTCCATCCACGACATGCCCCAGGCGCACTGGAGGAGCAAGCTGCTCGCCGGCTACCAGGTGTGTTGGGCTGCAGGGCCACAGGAAGTCACTTAAGATCAGAGTGGGAGCACGGAGCTGTAATACAAGTGCCTGGCTGAATCTGTCAAATATGTGGAGCAGCAGTTACAGGGCTTTCTAATGTGTCCGTTTGTATACACTATTCAAAACCCACAGCGTCTCGAGTTATTTTAAATTAGCTTTCCAGATAAATTAAAGAAGAATGGAGTACGTGTCTGCAAAAGCAATGTAAGTGAGTAATCACAAGTCCTTCAGAAACAACTTTTTATTGTTAATGAGAGTCTCTCTTGAAAGTTGTTTTAATCCAAGTTGGCTCAGAGTTTTAATTAATTGTGTTTTGGTTTGGCTTCAGTTGATCACTTTAAAGACAGTGTTTTTCAGTCTGCTGCTGCACGACTCCTCTGTCCAAATAACCTTTTCCTAACCATTCTTGGCACAACTTTAAGTGATGCGTTAAAAGCAGTCAAAGCAACATTTTCAGTGTGTGGGCTCCTCCATGTATGTTTTTGTCCTCTTGTGGCTCTCTCCAAGGTGTACATGTGTGCTATAATGGAGCTGGGCTGTGTGCACTAACCCAGAGCTGCAAGCTGATGGGTTATCCGAGATGTCGCTCTCTCAAAGGGAGCGCAGATGAAATATTAGAGCACTATGTAAATATCTAAAACTACCCTGCACTCGCCGCACCTGCGCGTCCCCCTGCTCTGCAGCCCGGCCTCCACACGAGCCATGATGGCTGTTCAAAGAAGTAGAAAATGTTCTGGCTGCATCTCTGTGAGCACTGAGCACCGGGTCCCCACAGAGAACACACAGGCGCTGCCAAGCAAGCAGCGGCAGCAACAATGCACCCAGGAAGGGGCTTATTTCTCTGGACTGTGTCTGTTCATTCGGAAGTGTTATTCCCCTCTCAGCAGTGCGGTCAAAAAAGGCCTTTAGTCTCCCTGGGGCACCTCGTGGAGACTGTTGTGCGTTTCACCCCCTCTGAAGTCCGTCTCCCTGGGTAACAGTGCCCCCACTTGGTGAGCAGCCTGATCTGCAGTCCCACTCCCCTCCAAGGCTCAGCTCCTGTCAGCTGTTGATCCCAGGGTGAAGTCAGGAGTCAGTGTGCCCTGTTTTATTTTTCCTCTCTAAGGGGTTGCTGCTTTGCTCCTCTTGGGATATGGAAATGAAGCATGAATATGGAGCAAAGGAGAGAAAGATGTAGAAATTGTCAGCCTTGAATACATTCTAGCAAACAGTCCCTGGTAGACAGGAGCTGGTGCTGTTCAGTGTTACTACTCAAAGCTTTTACACGCAACCCCGTCACATGATGCGTTTTAGATTCAAAGCAGTGATGTTAAAACTTGGACACCATCAGCATCATTTGTATCGCAGCCCAGAAATGCACACACAGTGCATACAAAGAGAGGAAACGTCCCTCATGCCAGAGATATATATATATAGTGTTATCTCCTGAAATACACTTACTTGTTAGTTTGATTGCTTGTGTCATCAGCTCAGACAAGTTTGCTCCCTCTCTCAGTAATAGCCCATTATCTCCCTTTACCCTAGCCTACTAGTGTCAGTCGGCTGCCTGCGGTATATTTAGCCATGTTCACCTGACACTGACAGCTTCTGTCAGTGTAATTAATGATGATCTCAGCGTATTGTAGGTAGGCGGTCCTGTTATGCTGCGTGTTAGACATGCGGTTCTAACTGAGCCCCTGTTTTACCGTTTGTGTGTGCCGCGTGTCTCTTTCTGCAGGAGATCCCCTTCTACCACATCTGGAACGGCTCCCAGCGGTACCTGCACTGCACGTTCACTCTGGAGCGGCTCAGCCTCAGCACCTGCGAGCTCACCTGCCAGCTGTGCGTCTGGCAGGTGGAGGGGGAGGGGCAGAGCTTCAGCCTCGACTTCAACATTGCCAAGGTAACGTTATGCATTACAACTGTCTTAGAGCTAGCGACTCATTATGCAACCGCCATTATTCAGCATTGTCTTCAGTAATAAAGGAATGATACAGTGCTGGTTTTCTGAAGGCTGTGCTCTATGGCTGTTATTCCCAGCAGGACACCCGAGCTGTGGACGCAGAGTTCCTGCTAATGGACATTAGCGCCTCAGCTCTAGCGGGGCCCAGCGCCTTTCAGATCCCGTACCTCATCAGGCAGAAGATCTGCAGCAGCCTGGACGCCCCCTGTCCCAACGGAGCCGACTGGAGAATGCTAGCACAAAGACTTAAACTTGAGAGGTAAATCCAAACTGTGCAGCACCATAATGCCTCATCTGATCAATGATCTGTGCAGCGGCCGGAACAGGCAGCTACCACAAAGGTAGTGAAGAAACGCAGCAGAGCCTCATTTATCCCCTGGAGAATACATGCTGCACAGCAGTATGTATACAACACTAGACACACAGCTTGTTAAAAATAATGAATGTTTAATCAAACTGATTGTAAAGGGTCATGCTAACGTAGAGGTTAACATGTTGCAATGTAGCCAGCTATTGCACACAAAGCAGTGCACAGTGCATCACAGCAGTCGCATGTTATTCCTTGACTTTAGGTAAACAAAGTTCTGCTTGAGCAAGCTAATCCTCATCACACAGCTAACCTTATAGGATTAATGTGGACTTGATGGATACAGATATCATTTCTCAGAGAAAACACAACCCCCTTCTTCCTTTTTTTCCTCCTCAGAACAGGTAAGCAGCTTAAAGTCTGAGGCTAAACTTGTACCTGCTACATTCTCCTTAACAGTTGTAATTGGTAAGGTAGCAAGGTAGCTGCCCATCAGCGGCAAAAAAAAAACACAACATGTTTGGATCTGTGCCGACTGCAATTCATCCTCGCACTAACTGTACTCTATTCCCGGAGCACCTGAAACAGGGCGCATTGATCCCTTATCCTCCCGATTTAATTTCTAGCCCATAATGAGATCAAATGGGTACACTTAATTTGTCCACTCAACTTTATTTAGCCCAATTAATCACAAATTGAATTGATGCACTACAGGTTTAATTAGCAGTGTTTTGCTCAACATAATCAATTCTCATTTAGGCCTCAGGAAGGAACAACTGCTCTGTTGTTTGATCTGTCCTTAACAACATGTTTTTCCTGAAAAGGCAGCCGCTCCTTGGCATTCTGTCATGCTGCAGTTCTGCGTTTGTTTTCCTTGTGTATAAAGCGTTCAGACCGAGCGGAACGGGACCAATCAATAAAACTTAAAATGCCGAGAACCTTTTTATTTGATCTTTCTCTCCTAAGACTGAGCGAGCGGCTGTGTCTGAGCCATACAAGATAAGCCGGTGTTTCACACAGCGAGGTGAATAAGCGGGGCTGACACATCGCACACTAAGCTCGGTCTTCTTTTTTTATCTGAATAATGACACTGAGGTTTGTTCCCAGACAATCTTTTGACCAACACTTCCCTTTGTTGTGCTCTCCCGACGCAGAGGGAAGGCAGTGTGCACTATATAGGCCAATCGACTGAAAGCAGCAGAGTGTGTGTACTGCCAAAGCAGCCACATGTTTATAACCATCACATAACGCTTCACTTGGCAAACAGGAGATATGGGGAGGTAACCTTTCCTCAAGGTGAAAGGGGTGTTTTAGGCTTCTTGTCTCACCCCCTCTCCCACCTAGGGAAAAACACTCACACAACACAATCTCTCTTTGTGCCAAGAGTTTCTGAATGCCATGTGTGCTCTACATAGCAGTTAAGGCCCCAGACATTTGGAGAACAGAAAAAGGCCATTAAATCAAACAAGCATGTTCTGGGGACCGGGGGGGATCAGGGCCCACTCAACATCAAATATAGAGCGGGCCAGGGCCACTGCTTTGTTGTCATTGATTGGGCTTGATCGTAAAGGTTCTGCTCCTAAAATGGAAAAGGTCACTTCCGACTTAACTGTGAAAAGTCTATATAGGATTTACAATATGGGATTTAGGGCAATTTCAACATCAAATAAAGAGGAATGAGGCTTAAGCTTCAGATAGAAAATGGCTGGAGATTCTGTATTTGATGGCAGTTTCAGGAGCTGTTCGTATACCTTTTATCATGTTTTACTTACAGCTCCAACCACAGCATATCGAGATGTAGCAGTATAACACACAATAAAACCTGACATTGATGGAGTTACAAAAAGCAGGAGCTCTATAAAGCACCGGCAGGAAAGGCTTTCTTAAGACACGGTTATTGTAGCGAAAATGAGATACTGTCCGTTTTGATATGTGCACATCACTTGATTCAATAAAAGCGTCTCAATTTTCCCTCCCTGTTATGTTCTCCTCTCTCTGCAGACACATGAGTTTCTTTGCATCCAAAGCGAGCCCCACCTCTCTGATCCTGGACCTGTGGGAGGCGCAGCATTTCCACAGCGGCAACATCAACCAGCTGGCCACGGTCATGGCTGACATTGGCAAACAAGAAGCCATGATATTCCTGGTCTCTGATGGCGAGTGCTAACCCAGAAAAGGGGAGAGACTGGTGCCGAGGAAAAGTACAGAACACACACCGAAAAACAAGAAATACGGCAGCAGGAATCCAAGAGCAGAGCTGTCCCCAAGTCCCTCTTCTTCACTTCAGAAGATTACTTTCTGTAGGATTCAGTCCCAACATCCCATCCAACAGAGTCAGAATCTTTCAATGAAAAACCAAATGAGAGTTTGGGTGTGTGGGGGAAATGTATTATTGAGATAAAAGAAAATACGTGTCATTTTCCATCAAAATGTTAAGTTAAGTTGGTCCACTTTTACGTCAAAGAACTAATTAAATGATCTTCATGCCTTTTTATATTAACAAATAGGCCATTTATGGCTAATAAGGAGCAATATGCAAACGTAACGATGATGGCCAATATTTAAAATTCAATGAATACACGTAAAAGGAAATGGAGGTCACATAAGGAGCCAGTCATTTCAGGTTAAAGAGAACAGGGCGAAATATGCAATTGGCATGTTGGTTATATGACATAATCTCAGACATTAAACATATGTCCATCATTAGGGTCTGTGAGCGTCCCCTCGCCAACCCCTGTGATAATATACAGGCGTGTCTTTATTGTTTCCTTAAACACAGAGAGCTTGTAGCACATCCTGGATCTAAAGGTTGAAAATAGATTGTATGTCAGAGGCCCAAAAAACCATCTCATCGTGTTTGTGTTTTAGTCCGGCCGCTATCACTGCTGTGAATGTAACATCTTGACATCTTGATTCAGAGAGACGCTTCACAGCCTCCTGCTTCTAAATCAATATTTGTGGGTTTAGGTTCTTTGAACTTTTTTGGAGGGAGGAGTGAGTAATATCTTCACTCAAGTTATATTTCAGAAGCCATATCCTTCTGAAGCCTGTGGTTTTGATTCGTCCACTGTACTTCACGTCTCCTATTCTCCCAATCGCTCATAGTGGCGTTTCCTTTGTTTGAAATTCCACTGCTAATGAAGGAGCCATAGGGCCGAAAGGCATTTCTAGCTGCATATATGTGAACACTGAATGTCGTAAAATGTAATTTCTGAAAATACATTTTGCCCCCGATTACGTTAATTCTGTAGCAGAGATGACGTTAATGGCCCAAAGGGATATTATCCCATAAAAATGATGCGGAACACTTTCCACATAAAATATCTGAGAACGCATTTCTTCACCAGATTACAAGAGTAGTTGTTTTGTTCATAATTCATTAGGCAATGTTGGTAGAAGTTCTATCATTATTATTAGCTGTGTGGCAAACAGTATTTCCACATCAAAGAAAGGCCTGTCTCTGTGGGAAAGTTAAGAGTGGCTTATTCATAATGTCACACATCTGTTCACAAAAAATGCTTTGAAAGGGTCTTTCCTTTTGTGATTTCTAGCCAGTGTGGCAAAAAAATGATCCGGCAGATTCATAAACTGCAACCACGCATTTGCTTATTATATTTTGCTACTTTGCATTAATTTTACAGTTATTTATTTGTTGTATTAATGGATTTGTCAAGGTCTGGCAACATTAATACACAGAGTATCTTTAAAGTCCACTGTTTTAGTAATAAAGCTTTGAAAAGGTGTGAGCAATCCCAATTAGCCATAGTCCTCTCTGGGTCTGCCTCAGGGTTGCATGTGAAGTTGTTGAAGCTATAGAGAGCCCGTTTGATTTCATCCTAAGCTCCTGTGGCTTCAACCTTTAACACTAACTGGAGCCCTCTTTATGATTGTCAGATATCTGGAATGTACATTTATGTTTCCTTGTAGTGGGGAAAAGTATGTTTTTATTTTCCTTTTTGAAATCTTTGTTTTAGTGTGTGGCATCTCAGCACCTGTTGGCCCCTGTCATCCTAACAAACACGCCTCCTATTAACCAACACGTTTTTACAAGCCCCTGTACAATTGGATGCAGAGATGCCATCAAATAATAACTTTTTTTATTAACTTAAAGAAAACCTTGGATCAAGCCCCTTTCTGATAAAATGGCGATATCACCTTAAATAAATCTTTTCATGTTGAAATGGATCGTCGTCACATGTAATATGTAAATACTTTTTCTATACCAGCCGTGTGCTGTCACTTTGCATACTGTATATCAGCAGAATTGGTAACCAAAGTTTTATGAGTATCATTTCAGGCCACTACATCCTCACGTCGTATCCATTGCATATCGTTTCAGCGTTGTTTTACTCTCAGAATAGAATAGAAGAAGTCAGTTGCTGTCTCTAAAGTGCGGGCTTAAAGTCCTAATCCTTTCTTTATCTCATTTCCTCGCTTTTGTCTTTGAGGCAAGTAAATGCTGTTCGTTCAAGCGGTAATATGTGTCAGTTTATTTTGTCACTTTGTAAAGAAATGTAAATTATATTTTAATATGAAGCCAAAAAAAGACACTTAACTGGCGCAGCATTTGTCAAGTCTAAACCGTGACGTGTTTGCCTATATACTGTTCTTTGGCGATCTAGCAGTGAAGACTTTTTGCAGTGTTAAGGGTTTAGAGACTGTTTTACAGGAAGTTTCTCTACATATTTTGTTCGTCCTTAATCTGCATATGTCTAGCTGATTATTTCTCTAACTGTAAGCATTTAAATACAAGGTGGAAATAGTCCCTAATGCTGAGTGATCACTACACTGGAACTGTGTGGAGGCTGCTTTGGGGGACATCAGTTCCAGGACACTGACAAGCCCGTGTTGACACAGCACGTTTAGATGAGCCATGGCAGTTGTACAGTCAGACTGTGTGTGTGTGTTTGCGTGTGTGTGAACCTGTATCACCCCTGTCATTGTGTTGTCGAAGCACATTTCCGTATTGTAATTCACCAGCCGCCATGTTCAGCAACTATCTTCACATCTAACTTGTCCAACATATCTAAAATGACTGAGCGTGTGATGAATACAGCTCCCGTCCTGATGGAGTCTGGACCTGAGGGTGGTGTAAGATGTGTCAGTAACAGTAGGGCCTGGCTCATTTCCTTCAAAGTTTTGGGGAAATTGTTACATCTCACAATTGTACTTTTTGTGTCACTCATTACTGCTAAGTGTCAAGGATGTTAGTGTGTGTGATTGGGTGTGTGCATCCCCCCCCCCCCTCCCCCCTCGTCACTGACTGAACAATAGACTTCTGTACTTGTGGATGGTTTTTCTATTTAGTTCCTTGATTCAATGTTCCTTGCCTTTCTGCAAGTCAAAAATGCTGTATTTATTACATGCCACAGCGCTTATGCAATTGTATAATCTTTTAGTTTTGTTCGTTATTTTTTTTACCTTTTGTGTTCCTTATCGTCAATGTAAATTGTTGTCAAAACTTTTGTGGCAATGGAGGATCTTCTGCTAAAGGAGATTTTCTGTACTTTTTGGACAATGATATGGATTTGTGGGTAGAATTTTGGAAATTCGTTTCTAAGTGCTTTCAAGTATTTACTTGGCCTTATGTATATATATCTATCTATGACATTTCAGAAAGGTATGTATAGTAATTCAACCTGAAATTGTTGTAAATAAATTATATATTGTTAAATCAACGACTGGATCTCTCACTTGAAACATTGACTGTTGCACATAAAAGTAATTTAAAAAGGCAAATCGATACTATATGTAACGTGTTTTGTATTTGCATTACTCTGACTACACAATGTCTGGTTTAAAGGAATATTGGACATTTTATAATTCAATGTTGAGTTAAATAAAAAGCCCAATCAGATGGAGATAGCATAACGCTGCAAATATGAAATGAATGGAGGAAAGAATACTAAATACGAGATTGTTTTCTATATAGAGAACACTGTAGGGATTTACTAGGGTCTTTTATCCAGGGTTTTTACAACAGCTGTTTTTTTAGAGCACTTTTAGTACTCACAACAAAAATGAAAACGCAAAGTCCATTGTCCTCTTGTCGGGGAGCAGGTGTTGGTGAGAGCAGAGAGAGCCAGAACATCAATCAATAGAAAATCTTACAGATGGGTTCAGTGCTTGGCATTACTACATTATTTTATTTGAAACGCCCAACAGCTATAAAAACAACACTTACAGGCCCATTCTGCAGCAATATAAATACATATCCAGCCATGACAGGAAAGCACTCTGAGGAATAATCACAATATCAGGTAACACGAGGGACAAATATCACTGATGTTTTTGTTTTCTTACATTTAAATGTCAAAATAGATCATTTCAAAGGCTTTGATTCATCTCCTAGCAGTGGAACATTTAAAACAAGAATAGCACGTTCTTTATGTCGCTGTGACATTTCAAAGTGGATCGATTGAGGATTAATACAGGACGTTGTTAACTACTCCCCTCCTCCCTTTAGCTGCGGCTCATCAGAGAACATTCTGCCGTCGCTGCTTCTGTGGAGAGGAGCCGGGGTCCAGCCGAGCAGAAACGGGACACCCCCTTTTCTGCTTGACTGGTCGCCATTACGTTAATAGGCACTGCAGCAGGAGTCATGAGTGGGCCGGGGTCCTGAACGAGGCCACCACTTCTCCACACTTAGCAGAGGAGTAGTGGCAGATCATTACTGCAATATGTGACATTATTAAAGGCTAAATGACTCCTTTCAACTGGGGAGATACTGACCTGATCGTACTTCAGACTGAACAAGGAGGACATTAGTAGAGTTGTGAAAAATCTTCACTAACGACTACAATTAAATGTAGATGAACTGCAGGGGCACTTTTCAAAGGTCTGATTCTAAATAGGACTTAAAAAGTTGGTGATGACATGAAACAATTCCTTGACTACTTCCAGTTTTACAACACAACAGCATTCGTTATTACAGGCAGTAACATGTGGACAGTTTTATTAGCAAAGTAACAGTAAGCCTCATATATAGAAACAAAGTCTGTAGGGTAGAAAAAAGGGTGACTCGGTGTGTGGCTGGCGAAGAAGAGATGTAGAACGTGTGCCTGAGGGCGGAGCGGGGTGAAGAGAGCAGGGAGAGAAGCGTTCCTTCCTCTGAAGACGGAGCTCGCTCTCACACTGGAGCGAAGGCATGGCCTTTGCACAGGGGCTTATCCTTCTTTGAGTAGAACGTCTTCCCCTCCAGGTTGATTTGGCAGAGCTTTAAAGATGAAAGGAGACAGAGACAGATTGAGAAACCGGGACATAGTAGATACCACACTTTTAACACTGCCAATGTGAATTCACACTATTTCCTACTGGCCAGGGCAGGCGCATATTATTTACTTGACTCCATTTACTTTCAGTTTTCCCTCACAGAGTGACAGAAAGAGTGATATAGAGTGCAGGTGACAGAGAGGGGTTCTGAGATAGAGGCAGATTTTTCAGGTGGCATTGTGCTGGGACAGCCAGAAGAGCCGGAGCCCCGCAGGGAGCCAGATCAATCAAAGTGACTTACAGCACAGACGAAGCACGTATCGTGCCAGCTGTAGCCCAAGGCCTCCAGAAACCGATCGCCGGCATCAATCTTAAAGTCACAGCCGTGGCATTTGGTGCCAAACATCTTCTCATAGTCTGGAGAGAGAGAGAGAGAGAGAGAAAGGTGAGGGGAGGACAGGTGGTGGTGAGTGGCAGAGATATATCCATCAGAATCAAATAAAACAAATTCAAAAGAGCTTTTATCATCCTGGAGATCGGGTCAGGCTTCCTCCTGGCCTCCACAATCACCATATGTAAACACCACTTAACCTTTATGGGATGTTCTGGAGCACAGAGTGTGAAATAGGTTTCCACCTCTCTTCATCTTTGAAAAAGAACGGGCGGCTATTCCTCTTGAAGGAGAGTAATATCGCCCCACAAACACACTCGTACACACACACAAACAGACACAGACACATTGAAGGCCGCTATAAAGATGGATGACACTCTTTTGAAGCGAAATGTTGTCTCTTCTCCTCATTTGGCATTTGATACTATGCCATTTGTGTTATTTCGTCCCCTCACTGTACATCAGTGCCTTTCCAGAGTGTAAGGGGGGGGGATGGTGGGAGGGGGGATTAGGATGAGGGGAAATTGCTCCAGATACTTAACTGGATTTCTCTTTCATCACAAGGACTCTTGGGAGAGTGTCAGGTTATAACGCCACTTCTCAAGAGTGAGTGGGTGAGAGCGACACAATCCCTGAAAGATGCTGAGGCAGCAGAATGTTTATCAGGGCTAGAGGCATTATTCGGAGTATGAATACTCAGTTTGTGGCTTCGCCTTCGATAAAGCAGCGATCCACGTCAGAGCCTGGGTAGTAAGCGAGAGGCACGACGCCCCGCTAAATCATTTACCGCATAATAGAAGAGCACACACCATTCATAAAATCCAATAGAGAAATGTATGAAGTAAACTGGAGCTAAATAGATTATAGCAGATGAAAACATCACACTTTATGATGGACTGTGGTGCGCTCCGAGAGATTCATGATGTACGCTCATGCCAAACCCAACAGCTATAATACAACAATGCAATGTTTTACAAATAGCTTGATAAAAAATATGAAAATGATTCAAGCAAATCTGAGAAGACGCCCTGCAGTGAGCTGTTTGTTTTCCAAAAGAAACTAGTTTATCAGAAAATGCACTCTGCGGGACCCCTGAATCACCCATCTTTCTGTGATGCGGCGCTACACTGTACGTAGCACCAGCATCCATTTAAAGTGAAAGGATGTGACATCTTCTATCAAATAAGCTCGATCACAAACCTAATGCTGCGAGGCGGGGTGGTTGCCAGCGCTTGCCTCTGTTCTTCTACGTTGATTCTTGACTAATATATAAAGCATGGTTTAGTTACAGGGGGTCTCTACAGGGGTGGAGATGTTCTCAGTTGGCACCGGAACGAATCAATCTGCACACTATGGGTTTTCAGCATGCTGTATTTACTTTTTGCCAGTGTTTCATATGTTCTGCTTAAGCATTATATTTCATCCGGTGTAGAGTACATTTCTTTTGAAAACTGAGGTTTCTGTGGTGTTCCGGCTTGTTCAGCAATGGTGGTTACAAACTGTGGATTTTCTCATTCCTCCACTAGAAACCACATTAATGAAGTTGTTTTTCACCAGGGAGAGGCCTGGATGGTGAAGCCGCAAGAGGAACTGATATAGATAGAGAGAGAGAGAGAGAGAGAGAGGAGAGAGAGAGAGAGAGAAGAGAGAGAGAGAGAGAGAGAGAGAGAGAGAGAGAGATAGATAGAGAGAGAGAGAGATAGAGAGAGAGAGAGAGAGAGAGATGATAGATAGAGAGAGAGATAGATAGAGATAGAGAGATAGAGATATTATATATATATATAATATATATATATATATAATATATATATATATATATATATAGCGTGAGGACATTCAAACTCAACATTAGCTATTAATTACTGTTCCGATACCCTGATGTTTACTTAATTATTATTACTCACATTTAATGTTTATGTTTACCAGATACATGTGATGGGAGCGATTGTGAGGAAAAGTCAGATGAATTGGGTTTATAAGAATCAGATTCATGTGATTTTAAAGCTATGCTCGACTAACATTATTAAATAAAGTCTATCAACTTAATTTCATTTAGAAGCACATCTCATCCCGTGCTTTACACCACAGATGGTGTTGCTAATCTCCTAACACGGAGCATTAAGAGCAGCAGATCAGGGTGCAGATAAAGTATGGCTGTCTGGAAGTCCTTCATTTAGAACGGTGTTTAATTACGTTTCTCCAAATCAGCTACTGTCTTTTAAGATTAGTTAATAGTTTTGTAATCATTTCCAATTGTTGTGAAAGAAAGGCCAAGTAATGGTGAAGTTAGGGGGGTAGCTATTACTAGCTCAATTGTCTCACCTTTCTCACAGTAGGGTTCTCCCTCCTCCATGTAAAAGGCTTGGTTCCTGATGGCAGTCTTGCAGGCTGCACACTTGAAACACTCAACATGGTAGGTCATCTTCAGGGCATGCATGATTTCCTGACAATGGGAGAAACAGAATTCATTTTCAAGTGTAACATTTCTTTAATTATTCCATGCATCTGGATTGTGTTTTTGATTTGCGTTTCACCCATCAGTGCACTTCTTACCCCGGTGATCTTCTTTTTGCACTTGGCGCAGTTGGGAGCGTATCGGTTGTCGTGGCACTTGGTGCAGTAGACAGACCCTCTCTCCTCGAAGAAGCCGCCCTCCTCCAGGACCACCTTACACTGCGAACACGTAAACTCCTCCGGGTGCCAGGAACGGCCCAACGCCACCAGGTACCGACCCCTGGAACACACACACACACACACAGCCACAGGTTAGCAGCACATCAGAGGCATTATTGAAATCTGCTACATCCCTTTCTTTATAAGGGAAGCAGTGCTCCAATGGAAATGTCGTCACATGACTAACAACACTCACACATTGGCCCCGCTGAGAAATGTAAACAAATCTGACACACTTGTGTTTTCTCTCAATAGTAACAAGAATGAGAACTAAGGTTTCTGTTATCTGTGAAATGTGTCTAATAAGGTTTAATATATTTCTTCTCCCAA